TATCAATATTTTTAAAATTTTCAATAAACAATATGTCATCCATTTTTAAAGATAAAAGTATTTGAGTATGGTAAATTATATTAGAAGAACAAAAGAAAAAAAAGAGAGACCCGAGTAACTAACTAAATTCGATATTTCTAAATAGGTGATTTTTTTTATAAAAAATATGAAATTAAAAAAAGAAGATCCTTGTGCAATTTGCTTGGAATAACTAATTTTTTTTTATATTTTATAAATTAGGTTATCTTTTATGTGTATCGAAAAGAATTGTCTTTTTCAAAATTTAAAACAAGAAGTTTTCTGTTGCTTTGATTTTTTTTCCTTCTTTGTGGATATTAACTTCTATTTTTATTCATCATGACCATGGGTTCTGAAATCCAAAGGTTGGGTTTCTTTTTCTTTTTCAAAGAAAAATGGTTAATAAATGAGAATTGGTTCAGCTGTGAAGAAATATCTTACTCTAGCTATGAAAATTAAGCTTGTATTTGACATATTCATTTTATATAGGAAACATTTGGGTTTTACAACACATTTATATTTTATCAAAATTGTGTTTTTTACTATACATTCATAATATCTACTTTGTTGTGCAATAAATTGCATTTCTCCCCCACATATTACATATGTTGGAAGTCTTTTTCATACATCTTCAAAGGATATCAATGACAGAAAGCTTTAGTTCAAAACTATAAAAGACAAAGATTGGGCTATGATATGTTGGAGATTGGAGTTTTATTGATAATCATGAAGATTGATGATGTCCTGAAGAGAGTTCGCAAAAGTAACCGTGCAAAAATTGGAATACTTAAGAAAGAAAATTTTAAGTGTAATACTACAATAAATTATATTATTATTTTTTTGTTAAAGTTAGAATTTATTTTTTTATTTAAACTACAAATATTTTTTACCAAAAATAATCTTATTTGAATCAAATAGAGTCAATCACGAACAATAAAATCTTATAAATATTTAATATACTCACACATTCACGAAAATTAAAACTCAAAACTATATATTAAATTAAAAATTATTTTAACAACGTAGTATTATATTTCATTTTAATTTTTACACAAAATTTTTAAGATAATATCTAATTTTAATTAAAAAAATTTACATTACTGAATTTGAATTTTGTCTAACATAAAATGTTTTGAAGATTTTCACAAAAAGATTTGGTAATATTAATTAGAAGAATATAGTCCTATCCATTAAAAAAAAATGTAACATGCAACGCTAATAACATTTTAATCTCTGTTAAATGTTTTGGAATGTTACGAGTTTCGGATGATTTAATTATATTGAAGGTCATAATTAATCTAATTAAGCGCTGATTCTATTAGGATTTTTGAATAAACAACCGGCTTTATATCTTAACCGATTTTATTATTATTCTCTTTTTTGCTATTCGATTTTATTATTATTCTTTCTTACATTCATGATAAGAAGGGTGGGTGAAAAAAGATTAGGCAGGGGTGTCGCCATTAAAAGTGAAAAAGGGTTTGACAGTGACCGACCACAGAAATACACGTGTCATTGAAATAAGGATTAGGCTCTCCGATTTGAAGCATCACAGTCCGTGGCAGTACAAAATAAAAGTGAGTTTGGAAGCGTTTTTCACCGAATTGAGACCAAAACATAGAAGACTTGCTATAAGCCAGCAATTAGGAAATATTCTTGTTTTTAAGTGTGAAAGTCCAAATAATTAATGAACCTTAATATGAGTGTATCTTAATAATTCGAACAGCAAAAGAGAGGAAATATTTACATTAAAGTGTAATTGTGTCTCCATCAATGAACGTTTGCAAATTGCCGTTGTTTCATAAATAGTAGGTAGGTGTGTGGTCCAATATTTAAAAGCCGTAAGTACTCCCCATAGGCTTAAGCCTCATGCACACCACATCTTACATAATGCTCTACCATTTTTTTTAAGGGCCACCCATTGGTCATCTCTATTCAACTAACTAATTTATTTTAACATTGTTAATAATATATACAACTTAAAACACACCCTTTAACATTTTTTATTAATTGATTTTTTAAAATTCAAAATACTTGCCTAATTAATTAATTATTTAAAGTTTTTAAAAGGTAAACCAATAAGAGTATTGAAAAATAGTTTTTATACCTGAACCAATCATTCAATTTTATGAACTACAAGTATTAGGAAATACTTTAATTTGCCGGCCAACACTTTTTTAAGTGAAAAAGTATGACGTCATGAATCAGAAGAACCATTTATAGGCACTCATTCCTAGCACACAGACCAGAAACAGAAATCCCAGTTTCCTATTCGTTGACATTTTATATTTAACTTTACAAAAAAGGATTTTAGGTTGCTTTGGCATCCTTTTCTCTGCCAAGTAACCTTTCAAAGAGATGTGTCCACAAAATATATTAGCATATTCACCTTCTTCTCTATCAACTAATTAAATATCATTAAAATAATTTTAAAGTGAAGTTTGTCTGTGAGACCTTCAATTTGAAAATAATTATTATAATTTATAGGCGCTTAATCTTGCTTTGTCTCTATAATTATTGAAATCTATCTTATATATTTCTTTCTTCATATAATTATTCACATGCTTCCAAATCTGAAGATATATGGAGATCATATAAATTCATACAAATTATTAAGTTTAGATTCAGTTTAAATTATAGGTTAGCAAATTTTGAAAATATTGATGTTAAAGAGTTAAATTATTTTAAAACTAATGCTTTTATGGAAAATTTAAACAAATATGTTTATTTGAATGTCAAAGTAGTATAAATCTTAGAGCGTTTTATATATATATATTTTAAAATTTTTAATATTAAATTTAAAATTTAAAATTTAAAAAATAGTCTTTACATTTAAAAATAATACTTTTTAATTTCTACATCAACGCTTTGTTCTCTATCACTTACGTTTTATTTATTTTTTATAATAATATTATATCAATAATAATTAAAACATAATAAAATATTTATATAAAAACCAAAAATATAATTTTTTTAAAGTGTAAGAATTAATTTAAAAATAATTGTTAACTATAAAGATCAAATGTATATTTTAATAAAAATGAAAAAATTAGTGAACTTATTTAAAAAATTTAAAAATTTGCCATCAATAATAATTATAATTACTAAAATATTAAAAATAATTAATATATAATTAATATTTTTATTACAATTAAAAATATATAAACATATCTAGTTTTCATCTAATTGATAGAGAAAGTAACAAAATAATCAAATAATGACATTTTGAGTTGATATAATAAAAATTGTTTATAGAAATTTTATAAAATCATTTATGTAATAAAGTTTATTCTCTAAAATTTTGAGTAATTGTGTAATTTCAAAATTCAAATATAATAAATATTTTATTATTTATATGAAAAAAGTGTTCTTAAAAAATATTATAAAAATTACTATATTATGTAAAAAAAATATAAATTTAATTAAGTATGTGTTCGCTATAAAATTTGTACAAACCCTTAGTTTAAATACTTAAGTCTAAAATATGTAATTTTTTTTATAGACTAAACACTCAATTAAGACAAAATATATATTATGTATAAATTAATATAATTATCTATTACAAAATTATAATAAAAATGCTAATATTAATATTTTATTTATTCTTATAAATACAAGATAAAAGATAAAATATACAATTAAATAAAAAATTTATTAGTAAAATGTTATAAAGATAAAATTAATGTATTTTTTTAACCAAATTATGTGTATTGTATTCTTTTAAAATTACAATTAATTAAAATATATGTTTTATTTTTATATTTGATGTATTTACGAAATAGTTTTAATATTTAAAAGAACTAATATTTTAATTTAAATCTAAGTATTTTATTATAATTTGACATTTTATTGTTAAATGTTATTGTAACAGTAGAGACTAAAATACAAAAAATATAAACTCAAATATAATAAAGTATTTGTATAAATATTAAAATATAACTTTTTTTAAGTATGATGTATGTTAATTATAATGATTAAATTTATATTATAATTTTTTTTTTCAAAATCATTTATACCGAAAACAAAATTATTTTTCAAAGATATAAAAGTTAAAATAAAAATAATATATAAGTAGATATTCTATTGAAAATAAAACAAATACATTATTGTACAAATTAATTCTACTTCCCGCAAGTCTGAATCCAAATTCCACCATGAGGCCATAAGGTGATATTTTCCTTTTAAATCCATGATAACATTTATTTGAAAAACATTTGCTCATTTATTAAAAATATATTTTAGTTCAATACATACAAAAACAATAATCACCTTAAAAAATACATAATCACATATTTATTCCTTATATTATCTATTTTTTTAAAAATTTAGTTACTTACATTTAATTTTTATAGTTTTTTAATTATTTAAAATAATGTTTTTATTTTTAAATTTTATTTAATAATTAATAAAAATATAATAGATGCATGACATATTATTAATATATATAAATTAACAATATATATATAATAAAAATAGTAAAAATAAAAATATAAAATAGTATTTATTTATAAATTTATTTAAATTAATGATATATTTTATTTTTGTAATTTTTTTTTGTTAACTATTAAATAAAATTTTGAGGTGAATTTTTTTTATTTTAACAATTTAAAAGTTATAAATATTGAATGTAAATAATTAAAAATATAGAAATAAAAAGCATACATAAATTAAACTATAAAATTAAAACTGCGATCAAAAGTAAAAAAAAAAGTTCATACTTTCCATTTGTAAAAAATGACAAATTACCTGTAAGTTAGAGGTCACACGAGTCTGAACGTTTACGTTAATTAGATGAGTTATATTTTTTTATAGAGTATATATAAGTTTGAAAAAAATAATATAGAAATGAACAAAATTTTCAGTGATATGATAAATGGAAAATTAAATATGAATTTTACGCAATTACCATTAAAAAGAAATAAAAAATGGGAACATAGGGAATTATAGAGATCAAGTGGGGGGGTTCTTTATATATAAGTAGAGAGAGCATGCAGTGGAATGCCAGCGGCGAACAAACGCCTATCTGACTCTGACAGAATCCAAAACCATTCCACTTCGCGACTCGGCGGAGAATGACGTCACACTCACTCTACCCACCCGAGTTAGACGCCGACTCCGTCGCCTCCTCCCCACGCTCCGAACACTACCACGACGCGCCGCCACGTGTCCGCTTCATGTGCAGCTTCGGCGGCAAGATCCTCCCTCGTCCCCACGACAACCAGCTCCGATACGTCGGTGGCGACACCCGAATCGTCGCCATCCACCGCTCTGTCTCCTTCTCTGCCCTCATTCTAAAGCTCTCTAAACTCTCAGGTAGCAGAACCGCCTCTTCTTTTCTTTTTTATTTATTTTATTACAATATATTTAGTTAGTGTTTGAGGTTTGATCTAGGGCAGGCATGAGCAACATAACGGCGAAGTACCAGCTACCTAACGAGGATCTTGACGCGTTGATCTCGGTGACGACGGACGAAGACGTGGAGAACATGATGGACGAGTACGACCGCGTGGCACAGAATCAGAACCCGCGGTCGGCTCGGCTTCGGCTCTTCCTCTTCCCAGAAGGCGAAGATTCTCGAGCCAGCAGCATCAGCTCGCTCCTAAACGGCTCAGCCAATCGCGAGAACTGGTTCCTCGACGCCTTAAACGGCGGCGTTTCGGGGCTCGAGCGAGGCCGTTCCGAAGCCTCTTCCATGGTTTCGGAAGTACCCGATTATCTCTTCGGTTTAGATAACTCCGAAGAATCACACCACCATCACCACCAGCGCGAACCGCGACCCAAGGACCGATTCGTTCTCCACGACAACGTTTCCAATTCGGATCCGGGTTCCCCTGCCCCGGTTGTCTCGTCCCCGTTTTGTTCCACGTCATCAGCGCCGTGCGTGCCCTCTATGCCCAACCTTCCCCCGGTTAAAACCAAACCTGAAACCCCGGTTCCCGATATGGACTCCAAGGAGAATAAAATCGAACCTGAAACGGGTGGGCAATCTCAACCCAACCCGTACGCGAGTAACCCTGTAGTGCACTATCCACCAGAAGCTGCTTATTCGGGTCATTCCATTCCGCCGGTGCCTGTTTTTTATGTTCCGGGTCCGGTTCAGCCGGGAACTGTACCAGTCCAACCGGTTCCTATGCAGGCACCTTATCCCTACGTTCAACAACCATTTCATGCAGTGGTACCATCTCAGGTTCCAATCGGGTACCATCATATGATTCCGGGTTCGGGTCAAGTATATGGTGCAAGGGTGAGGCATATGACCCCAATGCACCCATACAGTGCCTCTGCTGCAGTGGTTCACGACGGTTTGACACAGCAGGTGTACCAAGCTGTGCCAAACTCCGGTTCGGGTCCGGTACCGGTTCACCCGGTGATGGCAATGACGGGTGGGGATGAACCACAGAGAGGTGGAGCGGAGTATTTGACGGGTCGGGGCACCAACTCGTTAAATAATTGAGCATGTTTTTCGGGTGCAGAATTACTTTGATCATGCAAATGGGTGGTTAATCTATATATATGCGTGCCTGCTCTTTCAATTTTCTTATTTTATTTATTCAATGCACGAAAAAGCGAAGGGTGATATGTTTCATAAAATTGTTTGAGCAATTTAATTTCTCGGGTTGTATATTAAAAAGGATAATGTTAATAATTGATTTTTCGTTATGTTACAATAGTTTATTGTTTTGGGGGTATTTGTCTCGTCTGTTTATTTACAATATCAACAATGTGCAGATTTTTCGGCTTTCTGCCCTTATTGTTGTGTGACAATAAGTTTATTTAGTTAATAGAAGATAATGCGATTTTTTTTTTTTAAATTGCTTTTAAAAAGATTTTTATTTTTATTTTTAAATATTCGCCTTTTGTCTCAGTGTCGATCATCTCTCTTCAATTATGGACATTTATCCATATATTCTATTTCCACAAGCAACAAAATGGTGGGAATCTTTTGATCCGATCTCAACTTATCTAAAGGAACCAGCTTTGTATTTTTGTTATTAAAGAAACAACCAAATTTTATGACAACAAGGAGAAATATTGGATAAGGAATGTCTACGTTTTTTTTTTTTAAATAAAATTTCACCAAGAGTTTAGTTTTAGAGCATATTTAAAAGTGAGATTTTGAAAAGAAAAAGAATGAAGAGTAAATTTTTTTTTAGAATAAACATTCTCTAAGTTAACGATTTTTAAAATAAAAAACAATAATATTGCAATATAAATGTAATATTATAATATTTTATATTTTTATAAATATTATATAATTATTTAGTTTTAAGAATGAGACAGTTATTTTTTTCCTCTAAAATTTTACTCACAAACACACACTCTTACAAGTTAAACCCTCGTTTTATTCTGCACGAGAATATTAAGTTGCCCATATGTTATTTTGAGTGAATATGAATTATGTTAGTCATAATCTTAAAAGCTTTAATTAAAGTAGAAAACATAGATGATTTGTGTTACTATATCTATTTATACACATTCTATATAAAATGGAAATTACAAATTTCTTCATACTTCACTTGTTGGCTACGAGGATATTCCTCAATAATGACTATAGAACGATATCCAACCTAAGCACGTTATTTCATTATCAATATGAAAAATTAAGATTGTGTTGAAAGAAGTTAAAGTAAATAGCTAGAGATGCATATGGAGACTTGCTATTATAATGTCATTGTATCAGTGAAGATCTGCTTTTGTGAGTGCCACTGGAGCAGTATTTTGCGACATGGAACATGATGTAAAGAGAAACATCTAATTAACCACTCACATGTTTAAAGGTATAAAATTTTCATTTATAATTTTTTTTTTGTACAACACACGTGAAAGGTCAGTCTATAGTAATGGGATTAAACTCAAATTTTAATTAAAAAACACTAAAATTAATATAATAATGCACTTAAGTATTATCTATTGAAAAAAATAGAAAAAATGATCAAAGAAAGCTTTTGATGAAGCTCAGGAATTTAAAATGCTGTAGCCAAACGCAGTAGAAGCACAATGCACACGTGACATGTCATGAATAATGAAACACAGGCTACATGCATTTTATTATTTTCAGATAAAATTGTGGACATTTCAGTTAAATAGTGTTCTTTTTTGGGGTCTTTTTGTTTCAAGCGGAAACTGAAAGCATATGAAAAATACTTAATTGAGATCATAAAGTTGAAATGATAAGGTCGGTGAAAAAATAGACTCGATTAAATAAATTTTGTTAAAGATAGCTTGAAACACAATTAACAAAAGATCACAAGTTATTATCGAAAACTAGAAAAACATATGCACTATAAGCAATAATCTGGGCTAGGCTTCTAGCAGAGTTCTTGAGGTTTTTGTTTCGTTCATATGGGCTCACTTGCGTGACCATGGACTCACTTTCAATCAAAATGAAAAGGAGTACTGACAAAGTAATAATCTAAATTTTAGGATTGTTCAACAGTTAGATTGAGTTAAATGTAAAGAAAAAATATTCTTGTGATATGTAAGATTACGTAAGTCAGACAAACATTAAAATGTAATTGTAACTTGGTTTTGACAGATGGAATGACGTTGTTGTTGGTGTGACGTGGTGAATTGATTGTTTTCTCTGACATTGATGAGATGAACAATGGCTTTGAAGAATGGAAGCTACATTTGTGGTTCTCTTTACACTGAGTCTCACTTATCAGAAGTGGATTTTAGCAGTCTTTAACAAAGAAGAGGAATCTAATGGTGAGGTGCCAAAATTCGGACGGCACTGACTTTGATCCTCAGGTGGGGACTTGTTTTCAATGTTTAATTTATAAACAAAATAATTTAAAATTTATAATATTTTATTATTTTAAATTATTTATCGCTTGAGGTAATATACACATTTTAAACAAACTAATAATAACATTAATTACTAGGATAAAATAGTTATTTTTAACTCAAGTATTTTTTTTTATTAAAAGAGTTAAAACATAATATAAGTTAATAAACTAATTAGGTAAGATACTAATAAATAATTCATGCTTTCTCAATATTTGAAAATGACAAATATTGCTAAACATGTGAAAACTCTTAAAGTGATAGATAATTTAAAATCGAGGAAACTTCAAATTCTTAGTGGGTATAAAACATTTAAAGATTAGTCGGTGTCATATGCTTTATACGGGTACATTTATAAAAAAAAAAAGAAGCAATAAATTAAATTAGAAAAATTTATACAAAATAATTCAATTGATTAAAAAGTATTTTACTGATGATAAATATAAAGATAAAAATATTTAAAACTTTTAAAATCTTTAAAAATATTCAAGGTAATAATATAATTTATAAATATTGTATAATGTTTAATGACGATTTAAGAAATTTAAATATTAATAGTTATAAAAAATAATTTTTTATTTGAATAACTAATTAAGAAATAAATTAACATTGTTTTAATTTGACTTAATGTGGAAGTTTATGACAGATAAAGAAATTTTATAAAAAAGACATGTGACTTTATGAGAAGAGTGAAAATGTGGTCTTAAATTTAACATACAAGTATGAATTATGTTAGAGACAAGAATACAATTGAAAAGATAATAATTACTATTATTTTGAAAATTTATATAAATAGAAAATTTCTTACAAATCTAAACATATATAAAAAAAGGGATTAACTGCAAAATCTAAACAAAAAAAAGATTAAACACAAGATTCCAATGTAACATCTTATTATTTTGAAATAATAGCAATTAAAATTCTTCAATTAGTTCAGTTTCCTGGTTTCAAAATCTTTGAAATTTTAAGTGTTGCATCTAATGAAACATAACCTTAGTTTACTAAAATTTCAAATTCTTGTACAAACCAACTAATAAAATATTGACGAAGTGACACAAATCATGATCTTCATTCACCAGAATAGTTCTAAAGTGAATTATGGATATATGTTTGCTAATAAAAATGGAATGATGTTTTGCTGCTGTCTGTTCAATCATTCCCCAATTTGATGTTATTTTTCAGTTAATGGCCAACATTGCGCTTCTCAAGAAAAAAGTTGTATCATCCAGAACCATGTAATTTTTATAATTTAAAGAAATTTGAGATATAATCATATAATAAAATATGAGTGGTCAAGATCACATAGTCTTGGACCACTAAATAGTTGCATGCTTCTCAAGGGTACCTGTAAAAGGTGTAGGACACTCAAGTAAAGAGTTAGAATGACAGAGTTGAATTAACTAATTAACTCAATGGGAGATTGACTATGGTGGTTTGCAATTGCATATCCCTTCACCCTTGTCTCAAGGAGAAGTTGGCACGGAAAACATGCTTTGGAAAAACTTAAATTGGGACTCAAATATTGGGCCATTCCACAATTTGGGTTTCAATCAATGAACAGATAAATTATACTCATTTGATAATAATGGTTTCGAAGCTTGCCCCTAAACTGTCCTTGGGAAGAAGAAAGAATGTGATGCATAAATTTTAAATATAGATGCGGGCTATTCTAGTAGTTAAAATTTGTACAAAAATACCTTTTCAAAGAGAAAAATTAGACAACCTGGAAGAAATCTCAATGATGGAGATTTCTGTGCCAAAAATTTCACCATGTCATTACCCTGTTTAATTTAATTATGAAATTTCTTTGAATGGCATTACCAAAATGTGAAATGCATAGCTCTTTATTGTTTGTTCTGTACAAAACCACTTTATATCCTTAAGACCTGATCATCAATTTGTTTCTATTCGCGTAGAAGGCCCATAAACTTTTTAACTCTTAGCAGTACTAAATTGGATCATTGTCACATACCAGTCACATGTAATTGTAACTATTGTTGGTATAGACAATATATGACCCTCATGACCCATCCAAAGCCTAAACGTTAAAGAAAAATTCCAATTTGATGGGAGTACATTCAAGTGGGACGTTTCTGACACGTTTCACTTCTTGATGATGATGATCATCATCATGTGAACAACTCTGCAACAAATGTTTTTAACACCATTGCCAAATAAGCATTACATGATTTAGTAGGCAACATTGTTAAATTATTTTCACAGTAGGGTAACTCAGCTGAAAAAAATCATTTGAGTGAGTCTTAACAATAACGGTGAAGAGTATCAAAACTTGTCAAAATTATTCTTTAGGATGTCATAGAAAAAGAACATTCCTTATTCTTCTGATTGGGGGTTCAGATAGCTGACATAGGTCAAAGGGAATAACGTAAAGAATTCACAGCTATCATTGAGAAGAATAGATGTTCCCTGCTTTTTCCTTTATTTCCCAAGCAAAAGGGGTGCATAGGATCAAAAGCCGAAACCAAAAGTGGCTATGCATTAGCCATTAGGACATATTTAGAAGATTATGGCATTAAAAAGAGATTCTGCCAATAATACGCTGAATTGTCCATCAAATAAAAGTAGAAAATTATTCTCTTGTTTGCATCACAGACTGAAACAAGGTCCCAATGGGAAAAGATGTTCTGTCAGCTGCTACTAGAGGCTTTAGCCTATATTTAGTGATGGATTCAGCACCACGCTTTCAATTTTTAGCAGCACTTTTCTTGGCCAAGGCAAAGGATACAAAGTATAACCCAACTTTATCTACCATGCAGATAAAGGAGCATTTACTCTTTGGGGTGTGATAAATTAAACTTGTTTTGTTTGAGTTTCTCAAATACTCTTTGAATATTGCTACCTTATAGCTACTACTATAACACAAATAATCGAGGGGTAACACTGCTGTGATTCGCATCCGAGTTAGAAAATTACGGTTATATGAATAGATGGTTTAAACAAGATTCACTAAACAGAACATAGTGAACTGTTACAATACAAAATGATACCCTCATAGACCAAAGTGCGTTACATGATTATGCAATTACATGGTATAATTTTACGTGGAATATTTAAGGAATAGTCAAATTAACGAACACCATGATTTTGGTTGGAGTGGGACCTGGGATTATACACACACTTCATGTGAGTGAATTTATTTACGTTGGTACGTAACAGTAACACTACATTACAGTCATTTTTCCATGTCAACTTTTCTCAATTTTTTAAACTGGTAATAATTTTCTTTACTATGTAATAGGGTAGAAAATGTGATACTAATAAATATAATTTATCCAAAACTTGTTGAATTCTCTAGAACCTCTTCTCGTGTCTCTCACTCATGCTTTTGATGACTTCTATGTCAGTTACTAAGACAGACACAGAGGAACAAAGAATTCATAAGAAGTGTGAATAACTCAGCTCTCACTTTATCAGCATAGAAAGTCAAGCTTCTCTTTCTTTTCCATTATTGCAATTACTCTTATCTTTGGCACTTTTGTCTTAATATATTTCTCATTCTATAATCTTTCTTTGAATTTCTCAACAGCATCACAGAAACAGTAAAACACAATATCTAGCTATAGAAAAGGAAAATGGAGTTTGATCTTGAAGATCCCATATCATGCTTCAAAGAAAATCAAACTTGTAGTATATCAGAACTCTTTGCCTCAGAATCTGATTACATGCCATCACCAAACCACTTAAGCTCAGCAGATTTTCACGTTTCATTTCGTTGTGAGGTCATTTCCTTCATAATAAAGGTGAAATTTAAGATAGCATGTTTAGTTTTCTTTGTTGTCACATTTAATTTGCTGCACAATGTTAAAAGGTTAGTGTTATTCAGGTCCATTTTTCCTGCAATTTGGACCCATTTGTATCTTACCTTGCCATAAATTACTTGGATCGCTTCATGTCAAGGCAAGAAATACCGGTAAGCAAATATAAAGTGATTTCAAGATTTACATGTCTGTTTCTTCCTAAATTTTCTTGACAATCAAATAGAGGTTGCAGCAGGAAAATTCATGGTTCCTTAGGGTCATTGTCATCGCTTGTCTTTCTCTTGCTTCAAAGATGAAGAACACACCCTTCTCACTTTCTGATTTTCAGGTATATCTTCAACTCCATGTGATTACAATCATTGATAGAAAGAAAAACTGAACAATACCATACATAGCAACTTAAACAAGTGATATGTATATGTGATGAACAAAACAGAAAGAAGGTTACATATTTGATGCTCGAAGCATTCAGAAAATGGAGCTTCTTATTCTTGGAGCTCTGGAATGGCGTATGAGGTCCATTACACCATTTCCATTCTTGCATTTCTTCATTTCTGTGTCAAAACTCAATGACCCATCAGTGAAACAAGCACTCAAAATTCGAGCTTCAGAGATAATCCTTAATACTCACAGTGGTATTTCTAACACCCCATCATGAATTTCACTTATAATTAGCACAAACATTGACTCACTTTCCCTTTTGGCTATATAGATATTAAATTTTCAGAGTATAAACCTTCAATTATTGCAGCATCAGCACTTATCTCTGCATCTCATGAGTTATTTCCACTGCAATATTCTACTCTCAGAGCATCAGTTCTAGCTTGTGAGTATCTAGATGAGGTAAGTTATATTCAACCATGTTTTCAAATTCACGTGCATTGTTTGATTATTTGTTTGCATTTTTACTATATTGATTGTGTTTCGTTAGGAGATATTATCCAAGTGCTTCAATTTCATCCAAGAGTTGAAGATACAAGCAAATGCTTCAGTAATAGACACGAGCCTTAGAGCACAGAAGCAGAGAATTTGATGGCCCCTATTGCTGAAACAAATTCCAGTGGAATTGAGATCCAACCTGGGCTATCCTAAGCGTCATTCACCACAAATATTTGAAATTCAGTGAGTGTGGTGGATAAACGAAAGCACGAAATTATAGAAAAAAACCCATTTGGATAGAGATTTTGCATGTAAGTTGATTGAAAATTATAAGGTTCTCACACATAAGGACTATGTGTGATATTTTCAATTCCTTATTCATATTGTAAAGACACTTCAAAATTTTTTTTAACTAATGTTGTGAAGATACTGTTTAACATAATTAGATAAAAGGGGAGTAATGTATGTCATTTGGTTCCACTTATTCTATCTTATTCTAAACATTGAGCAATTCAATGAAATTTATGACCGTTTACTGTATATTCCATTCTTTTCTATGCGTTCAAAGATAGTGTCACGGTTGAAACAAGACTCAAGAGTAAGCGTCCTGTGCAATCATCCCCTGTCTCTGGGCAATATTAGCGTACGGTGTAAATTACGCGCTACCTTTTGCATTTGATACAGTAAGTTGTATGGATTAAACTTTAGAAAGATTGATTAAATATTATTAATTTACTCAATACATCAAGCTTTCATAGCTCAGTTGGTTAGAGCACCCGTTTAGTAAGCGGGAGGTCTTGAGTTCGACTCTCAATGAAAGCACAGAATACAATCTAATCAGATTTTTTTTTATTCTACTTTATCTGCTGAATTTACTCATAGAAAGTTCGTATTAATAAATACTGCAAAAGTCACAAATCATCATAGTTATTGATAAACTGAGATGTACAACATTTTGGATTGGAAGCAAGAAACGCATAACTGAACCCAACAAACTTAACATGAAGAGTGTTGTCAGTCTCCAAATTCAGTGAGAACAGAGCCTTTCAAGCAACTTCATAAATACTCATCTATTGAACATATGTACCGCATGAAGATGGCATTGTACCATCGTAAAACTAATAAAACTATTATGTACATGAGCAAATTAAGAGCAATGCTAGAAACACACTCTTATTAACACATTATTTATTATTAGTTAACATTTATTAAAAGTTATGACAAGATGAGTAAGAAATATTGTTTTAAAAGTGGGATTTGTATTTTTATATATTTTTAATAAATTTTTGCCAAAAATAAAAAAATGTATTAAAAGAGTGTGTTGTTAGTATTTCTCTTGTTTGCTTGCTACTGAATTTAAGATGGGTTGCTGATATTTGTTTTGGTTTCTATGCAACTTTGATCAGAAGACTTGATGGAGACCAGAGGAGGTGGACGTAACTCAAAGAATGCTTTACGTTTTTCACCAGTGCCACCTATGCATATTTTGTCACCACGACCATGCCAAGTGCCATCTTGAACATTGTTCATCTCCAGCGTTCTAGACTCCTGCATCATGTTACAAAGATACAAATATTCAATATTATGATTGACGCCAATTATAGCATGCCCTATTTCAGTTATGGGCACAATTAGATATCTCATAATCCTCAGTTTTTCATCATATATGACAATAAAATAATTGAAGATAACCAAATTGAGAAGGGAAGGAAATTTGGAAAATGACCTGACATAATGTACAACAAGGACAGGCAAAATGGTAAAAACAGTCGTCCAAGGAACTATCACCACCCTGAAAATGTTACCAATAGATAGCGTATTAGTTGGTCAAATTATATCACACAATGAAAGCAAATAAATAAATAAATAAATAACAGAAATATATAATCGTGCATTTCAATTCATAGAGCTGGAAGTTATATGACAAAAAGTATCAATCTCAACCATGTTCACCCCAATAATGTACATGGATGCAAAAATGCATATCAAATTTGCTAAATCCAAACAAATCATTCTAAAAATGTTAAGAGGCAACAGCAGAATGGTTTAACTAGTATATTGGCAGGTTCTTCATCGAAATAAAATACATTTTATGGTGTCATGTCATATCCAGCCTCTCAAGTCTCAACGCGGAATGTGAGAAATCATATTATATTTAATTCATTTGCAAGTATGTCACCAGCCTGTTATACATAAACAAAAAGATCATAAAACACACAATCTACTTCAATGGATATTTGGAGTATGCTCCACTAGTAGTAATTTCATTACAGATATTCAGAGTAACTATTATGCGACAATATCCAATAGAATTATTTATAAAACAAACAAAAGACAAAACCCATGATGCAGAACATCAATACGACTAGACCTGTCAAAAGTCAAAACCAATCACTGCACAACAAAGTAATTTCTACAAACAATTACATAAAGTACCCACCTTGATGTTGAATTTGTGTCTTATACGTGTCCTGAAGAATCCCACATATGCTCCAATAGAAACAATGAAGGCAACTGCCAGGTATAGAAAGCAGTGACGTCTCGTCCCAGCAAAGGCAACGAAGTTAAGAAAGGCACCAATAGCAAGAAGAAAATAAACTGCTGCCTGCAAAATAAGACCAGAAAGTTCAAATTTCAGTGAGCCCCAGTACCAAAAATTGGAAGTACTATATAGAAAATTGCCAATCCTAAAGTAAAATCATTTTTCCCCCAAATTATCAACACAAACTCCCTTTAACTTTCCAAACAACATTAAGTTTGTCTACCTGCTTGTAACAAGAACCAAAACCAGCTCTCTTCATGTTCTTCCCAAATCGGTAACAAGGACAGCTGCAACACCCAAATGAGCCATTATTTTCACCATGATATACATGAATATCAGACCCATTACAACTTGTCTACGTATTAACGGTTAATTATGCATTTAAATAATGGCTTATATAATAAATTTAACTTCATTGACATACACTAAAGAAAAAGACTTATTTTAATTAACTGTATTAAAAAATTTATCAAAATAAGTTATTTTTATAAACTGTCTATGAGTTCTTTTAATCCAACAATTAAAAAGTTTGTATAAATTATGAGAAAAGATAAATGATTCTATCATAAGTAATTAATGAAATTTTATCTATAAAAATAAATAAATAATTGCTAAAATGTTCCTATAAAATAACTAGGAGAAACCCAAATTAAAAGCAAAGCAATTAAAGGAGAAGATAAAAAAAAATTCCCTCCCCCGTTTCTTTAAAATTAGATAAGCTCATCCCAAAAGGCATAAAAATGAACCATGAAGAGAAGAAAAAGCAGCACGCCAAGACGAAAACATATGAATAATTCCTTACCATGCAGATTCAAGAGCGATACGACGATCATCAAAGCAATCAAGGACTTCACCCTCCCACATCCTCAACACACCACCAAATTCTCCACTCTCCCCATCTTCCTCCCCAACTCCAAGCTTCCCCCATTTCCCATGCGAAGCTTGCAAAGCCACAGTGGAACAAAGCTTTTCAAAGTCCAAAACAGCAACACCCTCCAGCAACCTCTCCTTCTCTTCCTCCACCCTCTCTTCCTTCTCCAAATCCCCCATCACATCAAATCAAATTTCCCTCTCTTATTCGTTACAACCAAATCAAAGTTCTATTTTGAAGGCACCTTTCCGAGCTTTGCTTTATGGGTTTTCAACAAAAGGAATACAAAAACATTTAAAAAAAAAAAAAAACAGTGACAATATTAAAAGAACAAGATAAGATAACGACGATTCCTTTGTTGCTGGCTGTGCGTAGACACATTCATGAATCTTTTAAGTTGGCGGGAAATTATTGTTGTGGGACCCAAAATGAGTCGCATTATAAAGGGTGCAGCTGTTGCCACGTGGCTTGTAGAATTAGCTGTGAAATTTGTCCACTAAATACGAAATTAACGGTGTGTTACTCCCAATCTTGTAATTGATCTTATTCTTATCTTATCCCCAACTATAATTTAGAAATTGATTACGTTTATTTTAAGTGGGTATGTTAATATTTAACTAGTTATTTTGGTTTCTTTAATTTTTGCTTTAGCAGTCAGAGACTTTGCTAACAATAAACAAGATCAATTATAAGTAGCCAAATCCAAACCTAACTAGCGAAAATAATAGCTACTTCACGCCATTGCCTTTGTCTCTTCGCAAATTTGTTTCGCTTAGGAGAGAAAAAGGTTTGAAAGTAACGAAATAGACAGATGAATAAGACAACTGGACAAGGCCTTGTTGAAATAGTGTTGTATTTGTAGGTAAACAACAATGTGACAGTTCTAATTGAACATGGGATTATTCGCAAAATATATTTTACAAAAGATAAATTGTTTGTCAGATTAATTTAGCTGTAGATGTATAAGTATTGTATGACTACATATGTGATTATAAATTCATGATTCTAATTTTCATAATTGTTTTAAAATTTATTTTCAAAAAATTACTGTGAATTCCATGATTTCAAATTGTGTGGCTTCCTTTAAAGGAATTGTTTTAAATATAATTCTCAATCTCATTTAGTTTAGGTTAATGACAACGATAATAGACTAGTAATAATATGGTTTCTAACTTATGGAATCAATTATAAAATACTAAATCAGTTTTTTGAGTGGAAATAGTATTCTGATAACTAAGAAAGGTATAATTGGCGATTTGACAGTAAAAGTAATAAAAAATTCTATATAAAATATTATTTTCAGTGCCATGGGATATGATTGATTAATTAATAATTTAAAATTTAATGTTGATTAAATCATATAAACCCATAGCCAAAATTCCATTAATAAACAATAAAACTTCCTATAGTGTACAACATAAACTTTGTAGCTAAATACAAACCTTTCAGCTCCACATAGATAAAAGTAGATCCTATACCTAGAGCTAATATCATACAAAATCTTGCTTAATATCTTTTTGATTAATAGATAAAGTAGCTCCTAAGAACTATGAAAAGAGGAACGAGTTGAGTTACAAGAAAAATTTCCTCCGCTAAATAGTAGCAGCATGTATAAGAGCAGAAATGGGAGTAGGCCTTCCATAGCATCTGGTACGTGAAAGGGAAATTGGACACATTCAGTGACCGAGAGCCACAAAATAGCAAGAGGGAATATAAAGAAAGAAAATATTAACTTCATTTTTATAAATCAAATTACTGAATATTTAAAATAAATTTCAAAATTCTAAACTACCCGTTCGTCGATAAAAACCTAAAATTCCTAATAATAAACCAAAATCTCCTATACAATTTGTTACAAATACTTTTTGACAAGCATTTACTGCATCAGTGATGCAATTGCCTATCTAAATTATGGTTTTTGAATAATGCATTGATTAAGGAACTGTTGGTAATTATATTAGCACGTTGACCCCTATCATGCATCTCATCAATAAGCTCCCAAACATGTGAAATTCTCCCTACTTGGCACAAATCATCAATAAGAGAAGTGTAACTTACTGTATCTGGAACTAAATGTTTGCAATGCATTTGTTCACAGAGATTCATTGCTTCATGCACCCTTTCAGTCTTGCATAATCCATTAATCAGTATGTTGTAGATTTGTACACTAGGTGTTACATCACGGAGTTGAATATATATTTTCCATTCTTTACTTCATTAAATAAGCAGTAGGCATCCATTAAAGTATTGCAAGTAACAAGATCAGTTCTATCAAACGGAAACTAGTTCCAATATTGCATGAGGCAGAGAAGGTTTACCATCAAAACAAATCATCACTATTAATACAAAATTAAGCCACAGTCAAGAAGTAAAAAGAAAACATCACTGCTTCGGTGTAGACACATCTTTCTGAAAAATGAAAAATGAGAATACAACATTCATCAAAAAATAATAACTTACTAAGCTAGCAGGGCCAACCCATAATTACAAGTTAGGAGTCTTTATCCCAGTGTGAAAGCAATAGGCTGCAAATGGAGTGTCTGTCATAAATCTAAGGCTATTACTTACAATAAGCCTTTACCAATCATTTCATAAAGAAGTTTCTCAGCTGTATCATTCTCACCTCTTTCAAGGAGAGAACGAACAATTATTTCAAAAGTTAAAGCGTCAGTAAAGCATCCAATGTCTTCCATTTTTTACCATAAGGACAATGCTTCATCAACCATGCCTTCTTTACAAAGGCCATTGATCATACCATTATATGCTGACACGTTTAGATGATAGCCTTTAATCAAAAGATCCTTTAAAACTTCTTGTGCATCCTTAAGTCTTCCACCTTTGCATAGTCCATCAATAAGTATTGAATATGTGCATGCATCGGGATATGCCCTTGTCTGTAACTTTATTAAATAATGCAATTGCCCTATCTAAATGATGGTTTTTGAATAATGCATCTATCAAGGAATTGTAGGTAATTATATTAGCACGTTGACCCTTGTCATGCATCTCATCAATAAGCACCCAAACATAAGAAATCCTTCCTGATTTGCATCACACCGCTTCGGACCATGGTGTTGAATACATATTTTGCACTCTTTACTTTATTCACCTAACAATAGCCATCCATTAAAGTATTGTAAGTAACAACACTAGGTTTCACACCTTCTTTTATCATCACAGCTTAGCTTCTTTAACTTTTCTATTCTTACACAAGACAGAAATCAATATGTTAAAGGTATAAACATCTGGGTAGATAGATGCTTTTGAATACCATTTGGTTGAAGAAACCAACTGCTTCCTTCACTTGATCCAAGAGGCAAAAGCTATAAATTAGACAGTTGTAAGTAACATCGCTGGGTAAATTGGCTTGACAACCATTTCTGAAAAAAAATCACATGCCTAAGCCACAAATTTATCTTTGCACAGGCCATCAATGATTGTATTGTACATTTCAACGTCATGCTGAATCAGTCGCCCTTTAATCTGTCTCAACAACTGCTGAATGTCAGTTCTTGTTTCGCCCACTTTACATAATTTGATTCATCTGAAACCCATGTGCTACCATTTTGCCATGTAGTGCTTCTCTAACGCTACAGTTAAGACAGAAAATGTTCACAAGTGTATTGAGGGTTACGGTAGTTGGTTGATGGCCCAATCTGAAGATCTTGGCCAATACCGAAGAAGCTAAGGTCATATGATGCAGATGGCATAAACAATTTATCTGAATGTCAAAAGTAACAATGTTTGGCATAGTTCCCTCGAATCCCAGTCGTGGAAAATGTTTAGTCTTGACAAGCGACCCCAAAATCTTATTAAATTCAATGATGGGTGGGGAAGGACGCACAGTGAGCATGCGATTGGATGAGGCAACAGCATCGTCGACATTGTGAATAAATAGGGTTTGCAAAGTAAAAATGACGAAAAGGCGAAACTTGAGAATAATGAGGGAGAGAACATACCTTAACCTTGAAAATGACATCTTAGTTTATCCCAAAATTGAAATAAAGAGTGAAAGGAATGGTTTTAGACTTTTAGAGGATAATTGATGGATTACCTTAGTTTACAAAATATATGCTGGTGCTTTCCTGGGAGAGATATAAATAAATAGATTGCGGAGTACATTAATTATTAAAATTGAATTGATTTTATATTAGGAATTCCCTTCTTTCCCACTCAGTGACTTAAGTGAACTGTCAATGTTTCGTTAAATACATGATTAACATAATCCTTTGATATTTATTTTTCTTTAATCATGAACCACCTTAGTAGAGATCCAACATAGATATTAGTACTGACATTGCTATATAGATTTGGCTTTAAAACAATACATTGAAGGAACTTTTGTTAAGTACATACATGCCAATAGCTACATGTTGTTATCTATATGAAAGAAGAAATAAAGATTTTTATTCATATCTTTCTATTGGAATATATCAGTCAAAACTATACGTTATTTTCTAATATGTTAATTAATTTAGATAGATTTACCTTTCTTGTCAATTTTCAAAATTCAAACTCCTAATTTAATTATTCACATGTGGATGACAAGAATCAAGTGGAACCAACAAGTTATTTATAGGTTTAATTTTTTAACGTATATTTAACAACGTACAATAGAAACCTAAATAAAAATAATAAAATACTACATAATTGATTGAATAAATAATATTAATTAAACACTATAATTATTATTTTAATTTTTTACATTTCTTTGACTACGCATAAAAAAATAGTCATACTGGTGCAATTACGCGCCAACAAAGTACGAAGAATTCAGCATCTTATTTGTTCTACTTTTCCTCAAATTTGTCATACTGTTTACCATTTCTTGTGTGTGCGTTTGACTTAAAAATCGCATCTCTTTTCATCGTGGAACCGACCATTCTTATTAAGCCCTCAAAACTCAATCAATCACTAGAAGGGATTTGGTATATGATGAAAGTTAATATAAAAATTTAATAATTTTTTTATAAGTTAAATTCAAACTGCTATGACCTTTGATTTATCATATGGGAGAGACTGCAACCTTGATTTTAAGAATAGTCATTTATAAATAAGTTCAAAAATATTAAATGTTAGAATTGTTATTCTTGTTTAATAAAAATTAAGTATTGATGTAAATATTAAGAATCTATCCTAACAATATGACGTATCATACTAGTATTTGACGTAGAATTTAATCATTTTTATATAACAATGAAATATCTATTAAAATGATATATTATATTGTTACTGTAAATAATTATTGTAAGAGCACTAATTAAATACCTGCTTCATTATCTCTTTTCCCTCTTGACTGAGATAATTAATATTCAAAGTGCTTCATTAATTTTATAATCCGATTAGTTATGCAAACTCAACCAATGATACTGAGTAGTAGTGAAAAGAATGATTTTACCCGTTAATTATGTTAAGCGATTATCATGTATCACTTTTTTGTTTCATTAAATTAACAACGTCTTAATAAATATTAAATAAATTAATTTTAGTATCGATTGTAAAATATTAAATAAATTGAAAAAATAATTAAATAAATAATATTTCATTCTATTATAAACTAAAAGATAAACATTTCATGGAACTGAAAAACTAAAATCCTTCTAGAAAGCTCTATAGTTTGTTCCCCCTAGTTTTTATCCGATCTATTTCAACATTTTTATTGTTATATTAAACAATATTTACCGGTCCATCCTTATTGTTTGCCAAAATCGTAACGATGTTAGAGAGTTAGGATTTGTTTATTTTTGTTTTGATTTTTAATTAATATTATGAGTTTAATTTTTTAATATTTTATAAATGAAATTTTAACCATCACTAAAAAGTGTTTGATATTACTGTTAATATTTTATACTCTTTTAGATGAACTAATTATTTTAATATCTTAAAGATTATAAAATATTAATATATTTTTAAATTAAACTACTGACTTCTTTGTTTATTAACATGAAATTAACAGTGAAGAATAATACTTTTAAAAGTATCTTAGATTTTACTATACTAAAATATGTCCTTAAATGAAAAATTAATTCAAATGTGAAATTAAAATTTTAATTTAAACTAAATAAAAATGAGTTCATGCAGGTGCTAATTTGACTTTGATCGCTTTGCATTTGTTTGCTTTTAAAATGAGGAAGAACATATACTGTGAATATCTAATTAAAAAAATAATAAATTATCATTATTCAAAGTCACGTGTTTACTTTTAATATTTCATTAATACATAAAGACTACGCCCGTAGTTTGAGAAGGAGTAGCCTGCATTACACCTCCAGATTGCCGTTCTTCTTCTCCACCCTTACCTACGTTTCCTCATCCTTTGGAAAGCCCAGCAATATATATATATATATATATAATTCTTCTTATTATGAGTTTTGTATTAAATGAAGCCTTATATAAACTCATTATTTTTTTTAATATACAAGTTACTAATTAATATTATAGATACTTTTTAGTTCTCCCTTGTAAATGGGATAAGATGTAATGTAAATTTATGATATATAATTATTTTTTATTAATTTTGATAAATTAAGTATTGATTTTATATTTATTTATAAAAAATAATTGCTTAATTTATTATGTAGCTTAAAATTATACTTTATTTTTGAAATACTCACGTTATTAAATGATTAAATTGATGTGTCATATATTAAATGATTGAATATACTCATTTTATAGATAAAGTGTGAGTTAATATAAATTTACAAAAGAAACTTAACAATTAATATATCTGAAAAAATTTATTTATTATATTTATGAAAAAAATATTAATAGTTGTTACATATAAATAAGAATAGAGGTAGTATTTAATTTTCATAAATAAGAGTTTATTATTTTATTTTTATATTATTTTTAATTGTTGACTGAATTTTATTAAAGATTATAAAATTATATAGATCTTAATTGTAATTAATGAGCTTAATTTATAATTTTAATAAATTTTAAAGAATGATAATAAATGTATAATAAAGAGTGTGTTATCAATTATTCTTTATGATTGAAAAATCTGCAATGTTTGCATCAGCTGGAGAGGAAAAGTGGAAAACATTCTGATTGTGCTAACCTGGAGTCTTCCCATTTTCAGTGGGAGCCGATAAAGTCAGTATATTATTCAAATGAAATTCAATGCAACTTGCTTCATTCTAAAAGAAAAATGAAAATATAATCGAGAAGATGAAACTTTTACGAAGAAGATTCTCATCTTCAAGCTTCAACAACCGTGTTTCTCAATTTCGTCACATTTTTTTCACCTAATCAATTGTCCGATTCAACAAGGTCTTATTCATCACTACCACCAAAACCAAAACTGGTCAAAATTATTTTCTTTGTTTTGTCCCTTCGTCACAACGTTGCACCTTCGTGGTTGGATAACACCAGCATTTGGCGGCTTTGAACCTTCTTCTTCTTCTTTGATTTTTACTCACTTTTTTATCATTGTTATTCTCAAAACATCAATCTGCAGAGTCTTCTCTGCAATCTCAAGGATATGGGCATGACCATTAGAACCAAAGATGCAATTTTTATGTTCTCTTTGTTCTCCTTCCTCTGTTTTTATACTCTGTTTTCACATGCAGCCAATTCCATCACACGGGGAAAATCTATCAGAGATGGTGACACTTTGGTGTCAGAAGGTCTCAACTTCGAAATGGTTTTCTTCGGTTTTGATAATTCCTCTTCAAGATACGTTGGGATTTGGTACTATAAGATTCCTAGTTTAGCGTATGTATGGGTTGCAAATAGAGAAAACCCCGTCAACGGCAAAGGAGGTGCTATCACAATGAAAAGTGATGGTAACTTGGTTGTCCTTGATGGAGAGAACAAAGAAGTGTGGTCGAGTAACGTGTCAATTCCTATGAACAACTCAGAGGTTGTTCTTAAAGATGATGGCAACCTTGTTCTTTCAGACACAGAAAAATTGGTGTGGCAAAGCTTCGAGGACCCAACTGATTCATTTCTGCCAGGTATGCAAGTTCCTGCTAGTGGTGGAATGAGGCATGAACCTTCTTTCAGGTCGTGGAAATCAGCAACGGATCCTTCACCGGGGAACTTCACAATGGGGGTTGATTCTGAGGCAGCACCACCACAGATAGTGATTTTCGAGGGAGAGAAAAGGAGGTGGAGAAGTGGGTATTGGGATGGTAGAGTATTCACAGGTGTGTCCAATATGACAGGAAGTTATCTATATGGTTTTAGACTTAATACTGATGATAACGGTGGAAGGTACATTGTATATGACAAATTGAATAAAAATGATAAGGTGAGGTTTCAGGTAGGTTGGGATGGATATGAAAGGAGGTTCTTGTGGAATGAAGATGAGAAACGATGGATTGTTACACAAAGTGAGCCTTATTATCAATGTGAGTTTTATAATTTTTGTGGAAGTTTTGCAGTGTGTGATTTGTCTAATTCACCTGTCTGTAGTTGCATGCAAGGGTTTGAACCAAGGAATAGGGATGAATGGAATAGTGGGAATTGGTCTGGGGGGTGTGAGAGGATGACTCCGCTGAAGGCTGAGAGAGCTAGTAATGGTTCTGGAACAATGGTCAGTGTTGGAGAAGATGGTTTCTCGGAGCGAAAGTTTATGAAGTTGCCAGATTTTGGACATTTGGTAAATGCTTTTGACAATGAGGACTGTGAGCGCAGTTGTCTGCAAAATAGTTCTTGTACTGCATATGCAAATAATCTTGGAATTGGGTGCCTGCTTTGGTATGGGGAGTTGGTTGATGTTCAACACTTAGACAATCTTGGAAATGTACTGAACATCCGTCTTGCTGAATCTGATTTAGGTATGGTTTGGTCTTTATTTATGTTGATTAAGTTAAAAATTTTGATTAACAAATTTCAATTTGCAAGATAATTTTTTTTATATACCTTAAATTAGAATTTTTTTCCCCATATGATATACAGGGGGAAGAAATCTGCAGGACATGTACAATATGCAAATACATAATAGTAAAATTTCATTTCTCACAATTACACAATGAATTGCTGAATAACTGATTTTCTTTGATTATTCTTGCAATTTTGGTCCTTCGTGAACAATTATATAATAGGCTGTGATGTATCTAGACATTGCAGAGAATCATGTGTGGTCAATAGTTTGTTGTCTTGAACAGTTCTTTCAAAATAGATTGAAGTATATGAAGTTCTTGTCATTTTAAGCTCATCTTGTAGTTATTTAGCCACCTCAACGACTATATACATTAACTTTTTATCTGTTAATTTGTGGAGTACGAATATGATGAGATAGAAAAAATCAATTCAAATCTCACAAAAATTCTCACAAGCTTCCCTGATTGTCAGGTTGTATTTACAGCATATGATATGATTTCTCTGTCTTCAAAATACAGGTGATGGGGAGAAAAAGACCAAGATTTGGATAATATTAGCTGTTGTGGTGGGGTTGATCTGCCTTGGAATCCTTTTATTGCTTGTATGGAGGTTTAAGGGAAAATTCAAAGGTAATATATTTATTTTCTGAAGTATATTTTTTCCCTCTTTGATGAATGACAAGGTATTACATATTGTTTCTTAATATTGACTTCTACGTATTCTATTTTCCTTTCTATTTGCCAATAGTTTCCTCAGTTTCTGCTCGCAACAATAGTAGTAATATACCAGTCTTTGAACCAACCAAGAGTAAAGACTTATCAGCAGAATTTTCAGAATCAGCCGAGCTCAGCTTGGAAGGGAATCAACTAAGTGGAGCAGAACTTCCATTGTTCAATTTTAGTTGCATTTTAGTAGCAACAAACAATTTCTCAGAAGAAAATAAGCTTGGACAAGGGGGATTTGGTCCTGTCTACAAGGTAAAAATTTAACTGTTACGCTTACCCTTTACTGTAATAAATGTTTGAGTAAAGAGTTTCATTTGTTCTATTTACCAGGGAAAGCTTCCAGGGGGAGAACAAATAGCTGTCAAGAGGCTTTCAAGACGGTCTAGCCAAGGTTTAGAGGAGTTCAAAAATGAAATGATGCTATTTGCCAAATTACAACACAGAAATTTGGTTAGACTATTGGGATGTTCCATTCAAGGGGAAGAAAAATTACTAATATATGAATACTTGCCAAACAAAAGCTTAGACTGTTTTTTATTTGGTATGTTTCTTCTCATAAACCGCATGCATTTTCTTTCTGCATTCTTAATTTGAACAAGGATTGAACTAGAAGCTTCCAGTGTTTATTCATAGCAGTTGGCTTGTTCTTATAATAATTGTGTGATCTCTGGTAAACATCATGCAGATCCAGTCAAGCAAACACAACTAGACTGGGCAAGGCGCTGTGAAATCATTGAGGGCATTGCAAGAGGGCTACTTTATCTGCATCGGGATTCAAGACTTAGAATAATTCATCGAGATCTAAAAGCAAGCAATATTTTGTTGGATGAAAACATGAACCCAAAAATTTCAGACTTTGGGTTGGCTAGGATATTTGGGGGAAACCAAAATGAAGCCAATACAACCAGAGTGGTTGGTACATAGTAAGTAATCTTTGGTTTAATTTGTTAGACAAATCATCCTTTAATTATAAATAGCATTAGGTTAATCTCAATATAACACTCAACATTTGTGCCACAGTGGTTATATGTCTCCAGAATATGCAATGGAAGGTCTATTTTCAGTCAAATCTGATGTCTATAGTTTTGGAGTATTATTACTAGAGATTGTAAGTGGTCGCAAGAACACTAGCTTCCGGCACTCAGACGATTCAAGCCTCATAGGATATGTAAGTAACTCCTTTTTTAAGTAGGAGCTTTAGCACCCATGTTAGCAAGTCGTGGATTTATTGTATTGCTTGAAAGGTGCATGCATATCTTTACTTTGCTGAACTTCCTAACGTGTTTTGAATTTGAAAGAGTTCCTAAAATGTGAAATTAGCATTATTTTAGATGTCCACTTTATTAGAATAGTAGAAGCTAATGTTCTATGACAAACTGGGTGTAGGCCTGGCATCTTTGGAGTGAACAGAGAATAATGGAGCTTGTTGATCCTTCCATTCACGATTCAACCCCAAAGAGTAAAGCTTTGAGGTGCATACACATAGGGATGCTATGCGTGCAAGATTCAGCTGCTCATAGACCAAACATGTCATCCGTGGTGTTAATGCTGGAAAGTGAAGCCACAACTCTTCCCTTGCCAAAACAACCTTTGCTTACTTCCATGAGGAGATATGAAGATAAAGAATTTTACACCGAAGGTCTTGATGTGTCAAATGATTTGTCAGTTACAATGGTGACAGGGAGATAGATACAAGTGTTAATCTTTCCCTTTCAGTTCAATTTTGCTCAAGACTCCCGTTCATTCTACCACCAAAGTACACAGCATACATTTCTCTTCGATTTTCCCGAAAGAAGCCCATTAAATATTAAGTCGATTGTATATAATTTATAAACCAAGTTCTATTTTGAGACCTTGTTTTTCTCGGTCTATGGTTCTCATATTGGAACATCATAGAAAAACTAGTGCAATCTTATGTACTATGTCGGATTTGCATTTATATATGTTTAGTGGTACATCGTTTAAGTGTATATTTGGAAATACTGTAGAAAGTATACAATATAACTAGAGCGTTAAAATACATGTAAATTCTGATGCGTAATCAAACACGTTATAAATCTCATAGAAGAACTCACTTATGACTTTTTGTATGTGTCTCTAACTAGAATTTGGGGAACTAAAAAAAATTTGGTTTTTTACGTTTCAATTTCAAGGGTTTTTAACTCATGTCGTTGCACTCTGATCCTCTTTCCCTCTGCCAAACCAAACAAGTGTGTGCATGGGTCAAACTAAGAAGCTGATAGAAGCCATTTTGAAGAACAGCAACAATCCAAAGCTGGCATGGCATCTGCTAAAGCGTGTTTTATCTTCCCCTTTGTCTTCATCATCTTCTTCCACTTCTACTCAACATCTTGTTGCTACCACCACACGCATCCTTGTTGGCGCGAACATGCATCCCGAACTCCACCATCTCCACCAACTCCTTCTCTCTCAGCCCAACCACATTGCCCATTCTTCCATCATCTCCATCGTTCGAGTCTTAGCCCAAACTGGCCACATCGACAACGCTTTCTCACACTTCAAATCCCTAAGAACTCAATTCCCATCAACACCCCCTTCCCTTCACCTCTACAACCTTCTCCTTCGCTCAACCCTCCAACATAACCGCTCCGATTTCGTCACGTGGTTATACTCCGACATGATTGCCGCTGGTGTTAGCCCCCAAACCTACACCTTCAACCTCTTCATTCAATCCCTGTGCGAGTCACGTGCTTTTGATCCCGCCCTGCAACTGTTCGATAAAATGTCTGAAAAAGGTTGTAACCCTAATGAGTTCACTCTTGGGATTTTGGTTCGCGGATTGTGCCGAGCTGGCCTCACTAAACAAGCCTTGCAGCTTGTTAACAGGTTTAGTCATAATGCTAATAGGGTTGTGTATAATACTATTGTTTCTAGGTTTTGTAGAGAGGAGTTGAATGATGAAGCTGAGAAATTGGTTGAGAGGATGAGAGAGAAGAGTGTGTTGCCTGATGTTGTTACCTTCAATTCGAGGATTTCGGCACTTTGTAGAGCCGGGAAGGTTTTGGAGGCGTCCAGGATTTTCAGAGATATGCAGATGGATCAAGAATTGGGACTTCCCAGACCCAATGTGGTAACTTATAATTTGATGCTTAAGGGGTTTTGTAAGCAAGGGATGATGGAGGAAGCAAGAGGTTTGGTTGAAACCATGAAGAAAGTTGGTAACTTTGTCAGTCTGGAAAGTTATAACATATGGTTGTTGGGCTTGCTTAGGCATGGAGAACTGTTGGAGGCTCGGTTAGTTCTTGATGAAATGGTGGCGAAAGGCATTGAACCTAATGCTTACACGTATAACATTATGATGGATGGGCTGTGCAGGAACCGTATGATGTCAGATGCAAGAGGGTTGATGGATCTGATGATAAGCAATGGGATTTACCCAGATACTGTTACTTATAGCACTCTCCTTCATGGATATTGTAGCAAAGGGAAGGTTTTTGAAGCTAAAAATGTTCTACGTGAAATGAAAAGGAACGGTTGTCATCCTAATATTTATACTTGCAACACATTGCTGCATAGCCTGTGGAAAGAGGGGAGAACAATAGAAGCAGAGGAAATGCTGCAAAAGATGAATGAGAAATGCTATCAACTAGATACTGTGACCTGCAATGTTGTGGTCAATGGTCTCTGTAGAAATGGAGAACTGGACAAAGCAATTGACATTGTAAGTGAGATGTGGACTAATGGACCAACATCCCTTGATAAAGGAAACTCATTTGCCAGTCTAGTTAATTCAATCCATAATGTATCAAATAGCTTGCCTGATGTAATCACATATACAACTTTAATTAATGGACTTTGCAAAGTTGGGAGGCTAGAGGAAGCAAAGAAAAAGTTTATTGAGATGATGGCTAAAAACTTGCACCCTGATTCTGTGACTTATGATACATTCATATTGAGTTTCTGTAAACAAGGGAAGATATCATCAGCCTTCCGTGTCTTGAAGGATATGGAGAGAAATGGTTGCAGAAAGACTCTTCAAACTTATAATTCATTGATCCTGGGCTTAGGAAGTAAAAACCAAATATTTGAAATATACGGATTGGTGGATGAAATGAGAGAAAAAGGGATACGTCCAGATATTTGCACTTATAATAACATAATCAGTTGCCTCTGCGAAGGAGGAAAAGCAAAGGATGCCACTTCTCTTTTAAATGAAATGTTGGAAAAGGGCATATCTCCCAATATTTCTTCCTTCAAGATATTGATTAAAGCCTTCTGCAAGTCTAGTGATTTTAAAGTTGCTTTTGAACTATTTGAGGTAGCTTGGAGTATATGTGGGCACAGAGAACCCTTGTACAGTTTGATGTTCAACGAATTACTTGCTGGAGGACAACTTGCTGAAGCAAAGGAGCTATTTGAAGCTTCGATAGATAGATTTCTCACGTTGAAGAATTTCATGTATAAAGATTTGATTGAAAGACTTTGCCAGGATTTAAGGCTAGATGATGCTAATAGCCTTCTTCATAAATTGATTGATAAGGGATATAACTTCGATCATGCATCATTCATGCCAGTGATTGAAGGCTTAAGTAAAAAAGGAAAGAAGCAACAAGTGGATGAACTAGCAAAGAGAATGATGGAATTGAGTTTAGAAGATAGAACTGCTGATAAGTCTTATCAAATAGGGGAGAGAATCATTCCTCGAAAACTCCATAAGGATGGTGGAGGTGATTGGCAGGATATACTTAACAGGTATGGGCATATCGGTGATAAAGATGATTTATCATTCCACTTATTGGGTTCTCTTCATCTTTGTTTAAACAAGGGTTTTTTAATCTGATAGCTTGTGTTTTATTGGGTTAAATTATATATTTTCTTTTTCTGTTCTATCTGTGGTTAGTCATTCCTTAATTTGCATCCTGAATTTCTTAATGTGACCACTAATCTCTTAAACATGATCTATGAAATTCCTTTAGAACTTCTGAACAATGACAGCTCAAATTACTGAATTTTATATGATTGAAAATTTGTTGTTGGATGAACGAAACATCACCATGTGATAGAATCAGAGTTTCATTTCTAAACCTTATTAGGTACACAGTTTCCAACTCAACCTGATTTACAAACTCACACAAAGACATTCATTTTGCTTTTGATCCATCTTTGAAAGAGTTGCTTTATCATGTGACATTTAAAATTATCTTATATTATTTGCTGTGGTATCATATAAATCAGTTCTATCAAACTAAATGTAAACTTGGATCCTGCTATTATCTTCAAAACTATGATTGTCATTTGTCATGTAAGTTCTATAATGACTATGGTTCTTTAATGAATGGTATCCACAATTTACCTATGCTGCATATCCTTCCATCTTCACTGATGATCTGTTACCTACTACTTGACAGGGATGGTGGTAGTGGAATTGCACTGAAAACTCTGAAGCGTGTACAGAAAGGCTGGGGTCAAGGAAGTATACCAAGTTTGCAGTCTCAGCGCAGTGATTTCCTTGATGACTATGATATTAGTGGTTAATGGTTTGTTTGTGATGGGGTATGTTTACCCTTTTCTTTAAGTTTCAACCACTGAGGTGGGAAGAGAAGGGAGTAGCAGATAGGATAATGAAAAGGTTTGAGGTTGGAGATATTGAAGACCTCTTTGTAAGTAAAGCAGGTTTTCGTTTAAGTCTATTGGTCCTTTCAAAGCTAAGAATAAGCGAAACAAAAATTAATTCAAAACCCAGTTTATGAGTTATGCAAATATTGATGTAAAATTTCTCCCTCTTGTATATATGTTGAATATTAATTTTCTGGGAAGTGAACAGAAAGGTTGTTTGATAATGGTTGAACATCTTTTATCTTGGGATTATTGCCCTGTGGGTCCCTGGTCTACTTTGAATGGCTTAGAGAAAGGACCCTTTTTCTTTTCGCTTCTTGGATGCTTGGGAGTCTCCTTGGCTTTATAATGACTGAAGGTTGGACCACAGTCAACAATTGGGATTTCTCTTTGTTCTCAGCCATTAACGGAGGAAAGATCTCTATCTCTGATCCAGAATGTTTTGATTCTGATTGAATTTTCTAGATAATGTTTGATGTGGCTGAAATGCTTTAGCGCAGGTGAATCAATTTTATAGGTATAAATTAATAGTATAACTGTAATACTACAACATTATCCCCTTACGCGATTATGAAACTTGAGCCAGAATGTGCAGGGAAAGGTTATTTGGTTATCTGCATTTTCTTTAATTCTTATTATATGGTGATATGTAATAGATGATTCAGGGGCTTTCATATTCTTATCCAGTAGTGTTAATAAGGACTTGTCCAGCTGAGGTTCATGGTGAACTCTTTACATGACATCATATCCATTATTCAAAATGTAATTTAAAAAATTATAAATATGTGCATATTTTAATTCAATGCTGGATATGTTACCATGTTTAAGGTTCACCAACGAACCCAAGTTTATAATACATTCATATTAGGCTTAATTAAGATTTTATCTCTTGTATTTTCTGTGTTCATTTTGGTTCCTACTTTATGAATTTCTTTGTCTTAATTTCTCAATTTACCAATTACATCAAATGTTGTCCAAATGTTGTCCAGATGATAATTTTCCATTTAAATTATTTTATTCAAGAACAATGCATCTAGCTGAAAATATTGTCATCTACAACTGCCATATAAATAGTCATTTGCTCTTGTTTTGGGAAGTACAGTTTTATTCATCTACTTCTCTTTATATCCTGTCCTCTTCCCTATCTAACTTTGATTCCCATACAACGATATTTAGTTGAAGTTCATGAATGGTAACACATCAAATAAAGTAATTTTGAATTGCAGTTTTCTTCTTTGATTGTTTAGTTATCTAAAATATATTTTATTAGTTTCTTGAATTCTGATCATCTGTCAATTGTACTTAATGATATTCTCAAGCCTTTTATTGTCTAGGTACCCAAACATATGCATATAAACACCACGATGCTGATCACGGAAGTATTTATGTCCCTTAATGTGGAAGTGGGAGATATATTATGGGGACAATTTGTGTTGAATCAATTATATGCAACGGAGTAAAAGGGAGACCTTGCAGGTTGAAGCCGGGTGCTTAAAGCAGGGTCTTAGCAATTGGATGAACTGATATTCTTCTATCAATTGGATGAACAACCGAGAAGTAATAAAAGGGCTTGAACCAAGGCACGTGTATCAATCGAATAGTGGGCATTGGTCAGGTGTTTGCACTGGTAAGAGAATGACTACTAAAGGCCGAGAGCTGTATTTCTGGACCAGAGGTCAATGTTCTGTAAGATGGTCTGCTGGCGTGCAGGTTTATAAAGTTGCCTGATTTTAAATGTTAGGTAGTCGTCAGTGAGTATTACCAGGCAATTGTTGCCAAAATTTTTCTTGAACTGCATATATATAAAATGCTCTTGGTATGGAGTGCTTGGTTTACCACGGGTAAATTAGTTTTTGTATTCGTCTATATTACTTTCTTAGTTTTGATAACACAAATGAATACTGTTCTCTTTGTTAGTTTCTCGAGAAAATGCTTGAAACTAGTTACCTTTGTATCCAAATTAACATTACCAGTCAACTGCAGATTTTTGAAGTATAAAGAATGAAATTATAGCTTTTAATTGTTGCAGAGCTTTGCTTAAAAAATTAGATCCTGTCATTCTCTGAAACATCCGAGAGGAGGAAGAAATGAAATAAAAGGAAACGGTGGTGTCTTTGAGGACTTTCGGCTTTGACTTTACTTCCAAAATAATACTGAAAAATGATAAAGTAACCTAAAAAAGTGAAAAATCCATTAGAGAATGACGAGTTATTAGTTCCTGAGGAGAGAGAAACCATAAGGAAGTGAGAGAAAAATAAATAAATAATAAGAGATATGGTTATTATTCGAAAAAGAATTACATAATTAGTTAAACGGTTTAAGGTTTGTTAGTTGAGAAAGTAATTAATGAAAATTATATAAGATCAAGTTTAAGCTTCGTAAAATAATATATTTATTTTCTTTGGTCTTAATTATTATCTTTTTTTTCAAAATATAAGAAATAATTTTTTTAAATGTATTTATTGTTATATTTTTTATATCTTTATTTATTGTGAAATTTATATAACAAAATACTTATTTATTATTTATGTAACTATATATTTATTCATTTAATATATGAGTGATTGACCGTTCGTCAATATGAGTATTTTAAAATATACTATAAATTTAGGATATATAACTATTTTTTATTAGTCTTAATGAATTAGTTATTTATTTTTTATAAAAAGAATTGAAAAAATAATATAATTTTTATAAATTGATATTAATTAAAAAATATTTAGATATAAATATAAAATAATAATTATAAAAATTAATAATTTTTAATTATACGATAGCTTATTGTATGTTTTTTTTTTGTCCAAAATAGAGTTAGAATTAGGAGAGGGGATAAAGTTGTGGTTTTTGTATATGACATTCTTACCTTATAGCTTTACCACTAAACCATCAACGGAAGACACTTATTGTATATTCTAAATTGAAAGAAACCACCTTACAACGCAGATTATGCATATTTGACCGCTATATCTGGAATTCAAAAATCTTTGAAAAATTTATCAGACTCAAGACCTTTAACCTCCTTGCAATATTAAAAAAAAATTTAATTTTAAGAAACTACCGGCTTGTTTGATTTAATTTTAATTTTCTATTTTTAAAATTACATTTTAAAATAATTAAAATAAAAAATAAAAATAAAAATTGTTTGATAAGTTAGTTTTTAAAACTGTTTTTAGTTAAATTTTTGTTATTTGTAAAAAGAGAAACAGAAAAATAAAACAAAAAACCTAAATAGTAATTCTATTTTTTAGTTTTAAAAATTGAAAATAAAAAATTATTTTTAAAACTTATATTAACAAATAAGTTTTTCTGTTTTCTATTTTTAAAAACAAAAAACTCTATTCAAGTAGAGAAAACAAACAAGACCTAAGAGTCTAATTGTTTCTTTTTTTTTAATATAATTTTTTATTTTTAAAATAAAAAATAATAATTTATTTGTCAACCTAAATTTTTAAAAACTATTTTTGAAAATAATTTTTTATTTTCAGTTTTTAAAATAAAAATAATTTAGCCTCTAAAGTTTTTACTTAAGTTTTTTTTATTTTCTCATCTTAGAAAGAGTTTTGAAAACTAAATTAACCAACCAGTTTTATTTTTATTTTTTCTTAAAAATAGTTTTTAAAATTAATTTAAAATATAATTTTTATAAATTAAAAATTGCTTACAAACAAGCTCAAAGAATTTGTTTTATCTTGTATTCCACATCCTTTATTTTCCACCTTATCTAATATCAGTTCCCTTTCATCGTTGCTCTAATCTATATTTTTGGGAAACGTAAAACATATTTGTTATGTTGCAGTATATGTTTATTATATATTTTCAAGGTCGTCAGAAATTATCAGGGAAGAAGTAAAGAATCTTAAATTTCATGGATGAGAGGTAGATAATAAATCTAAAATCTATTTATATTAATTTTCAACTAACATAGCACCTAGTTGCCATATACAACCAAATTTATTGCTTAAATAACCTTAATACTACTACTAAAAAAATAAAAGACGATAGATAGGTATTAGCTACTAGCAAACTCCATAATTTCCAGCTAAACATTGGTTGTAACAAGCTGGAACCATTGGCTTTGGGGATTGTCCAAACATGAAGAATCATAATCGTCTATGCAAATGCATTTTCTGGTCACAATCTTGGTAGAATTTGAATCTCTATCCAAACACAAGAGTGACCCGTCCTTATCAAAGGAGGCTAAGTGAAGACCAGTGACTGAAACTGCTTTCCAAGAACTTTGTGGTGACAAGCAATCTTTTGAGAGAGTTGGAGAAAGCCCTTCACCCACTGCCTTTAGACACAGATCAGAGTCCATCAACCTAATTGGAGATCCCTCTCCTTCAGCACTCCATAGGCTATTACTCTTACAATCACCCATCACAATTTCATTACTATTATTTACGTGCACGCAGTTGCCACTCAATGGATGGAACATTATGTGGGTCTTTGAGACATTTGAAGTTGGATCTGCATAAGTAAATCACAACAATTAATTAAGGTACATTATTTTAAACATACAATGTAACATAATACAAACATGTTTTTTATCCTTCAAAATATACTAAATTTTGATTATATCTCTACAAAATTAACTTCTTTGTTTAGGTTTTTACAATTTTAAATGTCTGATTATATGAATATATACCTTGGAGTTTCCTTTCTATAAGCTGGAATTTCTGGAGGAAATTTGGGTCCCTGTAATTTTTCCAATCATCGTCCATTACACCATACCACTCTCCCACGTCAATTTGACCTTGTTTATAGTAATAGCTTCCTCCAAAAGCCCACAAGCTCCAATCCAAGTCCACGGAGGCGGCAAAGGACACAAAGCATGGAAGGTATTTGTTGTCGACGGAATTCCCAAGAGTCTCGTCATACCCAAATTCACTAATAAACAAAGGTACTGGGTTTTTACCACTCATAAGAAAAGCTGATTGCTCGTTCAAGGTCTTAAGCATGGCATTGCATATCCTATTCACTGGCTGCTCATTCCACCTGCCTTGATCTCCTGAGAAGGAATATATATGTGCCTCATACACTATTTTGTTAGTGAAGTTTAGGTCAAGACCCTTTTTCTTCAAGAAGCTTAAATCATTATCAAAGTTTAGCCCTGAAACAATAACTAACAAATCCGGGTTAATTTCGTGAATTGTTTTTGCTCCTTGGCTCATGTACTTGTGCCAATCAAGCACGTTTTGACGTGAACCCCTAAGCTCGTTCCTCAAGTCCATAGCGAACACCTATGTAATACATGGAACACCACATGCAAGAAAATAAGTCATTAATGCTAAAAAAAGAAGGAAAATGATATGGGAAAATGCTTAGCTGATCCACTTTTATTCTACACTTTTTTAAGTGTAAAATTACTTGACAAGAAAAGTGGGGTAAAAAACTTGACATTTAATGGGTTTAAAAGAAAGAAATAAAAAAACTGGTGTGAAAATGCACTTTATTTCGACATTATCATGTACGTACGGTTGAACAAATAAAAAACTAGTTTTTCAATGAGTGTAAAAAAGAATAATAAAAAATTGATGTACAAAAATAATCACTTTATTAACATATATCATGCATGAGGAAATAAATTATTATTATTTTACCTAAATATACTTTTAATCTTTATATTTTTGTAAGATTTTAATTTTAATTTAGTTATTTTAGGTCTTCTTTGTTTAATTCTAACACTTTTGATTCTTCATACTGATTAACATGAAGCAACAAATAATCGAACACATGATAATAATATTTTAGCTAATTACATTATCGTTAAAACTAAAAGTGATAAATTTAAAAATAAAAATTGAAACTGAAAAAAATTGAAAGACTAAAATCAAAATTCCATAGCAATACAAGAAAAAAACATGTTTGAGTGAAATTTCTTTTAGAGTTAGATTAATACTTACATTGGGTTTTCCCTTGAAGTAGCGAGCAATAAAAGCCAACCCTTGAAGCCATTCATGGGGGTTAAAATGTCTATCTCCAAAGAATCCATTTTGATCATCATTGCTACAGCACCACTCTGGCAAGCTAACGTGATCATCAATAAGCACCATAATACCTCGTGCCCCTAAAGCATCAATCACTGCCTCATAGGCTTGAAGATGGGTCATGTTCAAGACCCAAGGATTGTGTTGCTCAATTGCTGACACAATCTCCGGAATGTCTAGAGAATAAAGGGTATGCACAATAGTTTCATTGGCATGGCGAGTGAACATATAAGTGGCATATGAGAGACGAACACAGTTGAATCCAGCATCGGCCACTTTAGCCGTAATATTATTCAAGGGCAATTTATTTAACCCTTCTGCAAGCATTGGCTTGATATGTGCCACCCAATGTGCACAATGTAGCTTCATCCTTTTCCCTGTTGCATCATCCATGATCCATCTCTTCTGAACTGAGAGAGGCATCGAGTTACAACAAGATGTGAATGTGGCCAAAAGGCACACCAAAAGAAGGAAGAAGATAGGGGCTTTTCTCGTGATGTTCATTTTCTTGATTGAAATTTGAAAGAGGAACAGATGTGAAGATTCACTTCGCCCTGTGTGTTTATATAGCAAGTATTTCTGAATTTTTAAATTTCGAATATATGGATAAAAGTTAGCTTTATCTGGTATATTTTCAAGCTTAGAATTAGTTATGAGATTCTGTTTGTTTCTCCACAAACCACTTTAACGTTTTGCTGTTTATATTTTGTCAATCTTTTGCAATTAAATTTTAAATTTGCATATATTTTTTAGAATTTCTTTAGATCAATTTTAACAATATTAATAACAAATCAAAGCTAGTTTAAAAAATTATATAAATAGAATATTAAAACTAAAAATAATTATGGAACCAGAGTTAGAGTCTGGTTTAGAAACTCTCCATGCCGTTGTATACCAAGACATAACTGACCTGACCTAGATATAAATTTTATACTAAATTTTGTTAGATTGGACATTTATATATTACAAAATTGATTTTAATTCTGACTTTTTTATAATTTTTAATTTTTAATTTTTTAAATTTAATATAATAAAATATTTATTAATAAAAATTAAAATATTTATTTCTTTTGATTTTATACAACTGTATTAAATATTTAAGAAAAAAACTTTATCACTAATATTGGTTTAGTATGATTACCTTTAGTAGAGATACATCTCTTTTATATTAAAAAATTATTTCTTTTGATTTTATAAAATTATTAAATTTTTAAAAAATATAATATAATTTTATTTAAATTTTTTGAATATATTATATAAAGAGTTTATATATTGTATAAAGAGTTTTAAATATTTATATAATATATTTTAAATAATATATTATCATATAAATTTATTATTTTATTTATTTAAAATATAATATATATATATATATATATATATATTGATTTTGTTATTTTATATATAATTTTACAAACACATATATCTACTTCCACTTTGTTAGTCTTTTAAAACTCTTCCTTAGGCTTGATTTTATAAATATCTTTTGACCTAGAATTTTTGGTTAGTTTGTTATTCTGTTTTTAGGCTTTTTAAGCCTAGTTGATTAAAAAAAACTATTTAATAACTATTTAATTTTTAAAAAAAATTACTTATTTTGAGATAATATTAATTATTTGAAGATAAAAAACTTTTAAAGTTTTTTTTAGTTTAATTTTTTGTTAGTTTAAATCTCTTATCTTAACTAAAAGTCATCCGATTCAAAGTAGTCTTTCTTTTTTACTTTATTCTTAAAACTTTTAAATCAAATTAAATTCTATTTCAAATTAATTATTTATTTTTACAAACACATATATCTAGTTCCACTTTGTTAGTCTTTAATTTTTATATATTATTTATAAAATACTAATTTGGATTAGTTCAGCTTAATTTATTATCTTTGATTTAAATACAAAAAACTTTATCACTAATATTGGTTCAATATGATTACCTTTAGTAGAGATACATGTGTTTTATATTAAAAAAATTATTTCTTTTGATTTTATAAAATTTATTAAATTTAAAATAAAAATATAATATAATTTTATTTAAAAATAATTTTTAATTTAATAATGTTTATACACTAACAAAATTAATAATATCGGATTATTTTTGGTTTATTTTGAGATGAAGCCCCCTCTTTTGAAACTCTTTCTTAGGCTTGATTTTATGAATATCTTTTGACCTAGAATTTTTTATTAGTTTGTTATTCTGTTTTTAGGTTCTTTAAGCCTAATTGATTAAAAAAAATTGATTATTTAAATTTTTAAAAAAATTTACTTATTTTGAGATAATATTAATTATTTGGAGATAAAAATTATTTTAAAATTTTGTTATTTCAATTTTTCGTAAGTTTAAATCAGTCATCCGATTCAAAGTAGTCTTTCTTTTTTGTTTTATTCTTAAAACCTTTAAATTGAATTAAATTCTATTTTAAATTAATTAATTATTTTTACAACACATATATCTAGTTTCACTTTGTTAGTCTTTAATTTTTATATATTATTTATAAAATACTAATTATTAAACGAGAGATTTATATATATATATATATATATATATATATATATATATATTAAATGAGATGGTAATATATGATTTTGTTATTATATCTATGAAATTTTAACCTACCTTTTTATTAGAGTTATTATTTTATTTGAAAATTAACGAAAATTCTCTTAGTTTCATGATAGAAAATGGTGATGAATTCTAATTTAAAATTTTGAATTTAAAGTTTAAAATTTTAATTTTAATTTAACTAAAAAAATATATTTTTAGGTTAAATTATATCATTTTTATTTTACATTCTATATTCTTATTTCACTGTTTTTAATAAAAAAATTTCTATTTTCTTCTCTTATATTTTTTTAAAATTTATTATTATAAATTTTTTGTGTTTAATTTCTATCTTCATGATTATGTGTAATTAAATACCTTATCTTATGCAACTAAAATAAATTATTATAATTTAAGTTCTTTTAAAATTTGACCAGTTTGATTTCAACATTATAATTATTTGTTAATTATAGTTATTTTTATAGTGTTATTATTATTATTTTTTTAAATTAATCATTTAAAGATAAATCTTCCTATTATTAATAGGTTAATAAAATTAAAAGACTAAGAGATAATTTGAATTTATAAATTAAAAAAATTAATGTATTATTTACATTTCTATTCAATTAATTTAGTTTAATAAATTTAATATTTTTTAGTATTCTTATTTATGTTTTTATTTTATATTATCATTAGGATAACCTATAAATAAAATTATTATTATTATTATTATTATTATTATTATTATTATATGATCATTGTATACTAGTAATTGATGATAGATGATTATTTTAATATAATTAAATAAAATTGAATTAAAAATATACGTACAATTACAAAAAAGAAAAACTAAAGTTTTTTATTTTTATTTATATAAATTAATTTTGTAATTATTTTATCTTTTATTTTTTTAATCCTAAATTTTATTTTAATCCAAACATAACATTTACATTTGTTAAGAAATAGCAATAAATATTTGCTATATAATTTATATAGAAACAATGCTCAGAAAGTCTCTAATGATCAATTTCACTGTAATTGATAAAAATGCTCCATTTACAATTTCCGTTTGTCGAAGGTTTTCTTAAGAACTAAAATTTGCAAGGAAGACCTATTTATGTTTTTAATATTTTAAATGATTTTTTAGATAAAAAAACTTAATTTTAATTTAATATTGATTAAATTTTTATATTTTTATAATTTTTAATTTTTAAAATATAACTCTTTGTTTTAATTTTGTTTTATATAATAAAAATATTTATTAATATCTATATATAAATTGTAAATATTAGTCATTGAATGACTGTGTTTTTAAGAATATTTTAAAAAAATAAATTTAAGAATTAATTCTTTTCTTATCTTACGAGTTTCTTTGTATTTATTTATTATATTAATATTAATCTAAATTTTTATTTTTATATTAATTTTAAATTCTAATGTATTTTAATATTTAAAATTATCTCTTTATTTAATTTCATTTAATATAAGAAAATATTATTATATTGCTTATGATATGTAGTCGTTTCTAAAATTTATAAAGGTGAGATTGCATATGCTATTCTGGATTAGTTACTTGGAATTCAATCCATTCATGTCATTTTGTTGGTTCGTGTGATAGTTTTTCAAATAAGAACTCAAACTTGTAAAATATGTTATAGTTTTTACAACTAAAAAGTATTTAATTAATATATGATAAATTTAATCGCATAAATATTTATCATAACTCACAGCCTCATACGTGTTGTTGCTTTTTTAAAAAAATATATAAATCTTATATGTTGTTGTGATCCATTAAAAACATATATCATACCTATAAAATATATAAAATAACAAAATATTATTATAATTCATGAATTTTGTTATTATTCTGTTTTAATTTATCAAAATACTAAATCTCGTAGTAAATAATGAAAAAATTAGTAATATTTTTTATTATCTTTATTTTGATATTTAAAGTTGTAGGGACTGAATTACATTAAATTTATTATAAAATGGTTATAAATAAAAATAAAAAATAATATTAATATTTTTTAAATATAAATAATATTTATTGTCCAAATAATAAAAGAGAAGATTCATTTCATTCTCTTATAATATAATTTGGATTAGTTCAGCCTAATTTATTATCTCTTATAATAAAATTCATTTCATTTCAAATTTATGTGAGTTTTTCAAGTTACAAAAGTGCAGAGCTGTGAATTACCATAAAGGACGTGAGAGTTAATATCGAAACGAAGACTATATTATTCCGATTAAAGTACCAATCCGTGATTCACAAAACCTCACACGTCATGAGGCAATACTAAGTTACAGAGTATTGCCACAGGAAAATTAATTATTTTTTTAGTATGACTATTAACATATTCTTTATTATCGGTTAACATTTATTAAAAATTATAAAAGTGGTAACATTTTTTATATTTTTAATAAATTTTAATTAATAATAAAAGTATATTAAAAAAATATGTTAAAAATGTGTTATTAGTCTTTTTCCTTTTTATGTACAAATTTTGTTATTTAAAAACAAGAAAAATGTTTAACATAGCAGAATTTTATGACTTTTATCACCTTGAATTTTTTATTTTACTTAACGTAATATTTATTATCATTTTTATGAATAATTTTTTACATAGGGTGTTATTTAATAATAAATTTTTAGGGCTAAAAAAAAGTTAATTTTAAACTGTTTTAGAGCACATCTCCTTATAACTCTACAATATGCATATTTTACAAACTTAGCAAATATAAACAATCCCACAACACACAATAATCAGGTTCGAAGGACCTTTACGCCTTTTCTCCAGTCATACAATCTCCAATCCTACAACTCTATCTTAAAAATTTTAAGTCTCTAAAATACATAAAAAAAAAAAAAACTAAACCGATTAAAAATTACAGTTTCATACCAATAACACAATTATATATTCAATCACTCGCAAAGGTTAAAAAATTGAAGATCCTAGAGAAAGGAAATTATGCAAAATGAGAAAGAAGAAGGAAGAGATGTAGATTTATGTGTTTTGTACAGACGAAAAAATTCATCTATAAATGGTTTAATGAAACGGTGCATTTTAAAGTTTCAATTACAAACAGGTTTATTCGTCTATAAATTTATCAAATACAATTACAAAAAAAATTTATTTGTAAATTGTCAGATAAAAAGTCGGTAAAAAACGACAATATTTATAGACAAAATTTTCCGTCTGTAACTCACGCTCCAAATTTTTCTCCAATTTTCAAATTACAGACACAAAAATTCATCTGTAATTCCTATCTATAATATTTTATGCTAAATGGCGGACCAACTATAGACAGTCATTATAAAAGGATAAAAATCAGTCTGTAATATAGACAAATTTATCGGCAATTTTTTTTAAAAATTTAAAAAAAATAAAAATCTAAAAATTCATCTGTATTTACAAAGATAGTACTTTTCTAGTAATGTTTTTCTCTCAAAATTTTTCAATTTTCTTTCTTTTTATTTTTATCTTTCATGCTCTTAAAAGAAAGCTGTCATTTCTTATTTATAGTCACTTTAGATATCCTAAATCTAATTTTATTATTGTTTATTAAAAGAAACTCAAACTTTCTTTTTTCGAGTATCACTAATCTACTCTCTTAATCTACTATTTTTTTTTATTGATTTTTCCTATACTAACTTACTTATTTTACAAAAATATCTATCTATTTTAAATTTTAAATCTAAAGAATCTAATTTTTATTTTTTATTTTTAAATTCATAAATCCTAACTCTCTAAAGAATTTAATTTCTATTTTTATTTTTTAAATAAATTTATTTATATATTTTATTTATTTTTTAATTTTAAATTTATAAATTCTAACTTTTTATAGAATCTAAGGCAACCGAGATATATCTCTCTACTTTTGAAGCAGTATTTCATTTGATCTAGTTATTTAGCTAATGATCATCTTAAATACCATTTATATTTTTATTAAAAGGGCATTACAGCTAAGAATGGGATGACAATGTGAATGGAAAAATCATATCATAATGTTAGTGTATGGTCTAATTTATTCGTAAAAAATAATTTGTATGCAATATTCTAAAATATCTTGAAAAAATATATTTTCTCAAAATTAAGTTAAACCAACTAGCACTAAGAAATAATGACACAAAATTTTCAACCATACATCATATTATAAGAAACGTTGCTGCTAATTATATACAAATTGCTGGTTTTATAAATTTTCAGTGGGACAATGAGTGGATATGCAGTTTTGATAAAGAAAAGCAACATTAGCAAGAACTAAATTATCAAATTGGATGGTAACAAGTAACTTTGAATAATCTGTATAGCTTGTTAGATTACTTTGCAAAAGAGCCTTAAAGTATCGTACAGCATTAGACTTATTTAGACAGTGAATAAAAGTGGCGTGAAGAAAGTTTGGTTTTATTAGAATCGGAAAAATACAATAAGGGGAAAAACAAAATACAACTAAACTCCAAGGATTAAGGAACTAGGGACAAATGCAGCAAATAAATAAATAATAGTAATTTACTTCTACACTTTTAAAAAATTAAAAGCATCTAATATTGTACCATCCTAAATCATAAATATATGTTTATAACCTTTTAAATTCACAAATCTAATAGTAATGTCACATGTGTATAAGAGTGATTATGTTTTCTTTGTTTCAAGTTCATCATAATAAATGTTAATTTTTGTTAGATTAACACATTCAAAATTAAGTATAATTTGAAAATAAAAGATGTTGAACTTGCTCAGCCCTTTATGGATTTTTATCTCTTCAAGTTATCTCATTAATTTGTATTTATTTACTTACTAATGTTAATGTTATAAATTAAACATATATCTAAAATAATTTAGTTTATTAAAAAATTAAATTAAATTAAATTAAATTATTCAAATTATTAATATAACTTATTATAATAATTTTATACTTGTAAGGTAAATTTGGCCACACATTTCTCGTGCATTATTTTTTTAAATTGATATAAATGCATTGTAAGATATTTGGATTTACCCATTCTATTTGACCTACTTTAATATCTCTTAACTTTGAAATGTATAAATTATAAGTTAGCATACTAAAATTTTAAAATACTAATTTAAAGTGTTAAGCCTACTTTAACATTTTTTTTTATCATTTCAATTATTTTTTCAATTAATTTAAATTTGTATGTTATTCCATAATTAAAAAAATATATATCAATATTAATTAGTATTTTTTTACTAAAAATTCAAAGTTTAAATAAAAATTTCTTAAAATATAAATTTGGCTAAACAGCGTAATTATCTTTCACCTGTTTACTGTACAGGTCAATTATGTACACAATTTTTTTCCTACTGTAACATATTTTAATAAAAATTTGTGATAGAGAATAATTTAGAGACACGTCTTGGTTATATTTAACAATTTAAAATTAATTGGATCAATATTAATTTTATTTAACGGTAAAGTAAACGGAACTTAATTTATATGTGTTTGCTTTTAACAGTTAATTTCTTAACTATAATGTTTTGTTTGTATGTGAAGAAAAAAAGAGAGAGAGAAAGACATGAACTAAAAAATTAAAAGAGAACGAAGAGAAAAGAAAATTAAATAAATGTTAATTTGGTTTTGTTAATTGTTAGGAGGATAAAAAAGAAAAGATGAAAATAATTTTGTTTTTCTTATTTGTGTTAGTCCAATCGAAAGGTGTTACAAACCTTAAGTATCAAGAATGTCATAAGTTTGATTCTGGAATTCATATATAGGAAAAAGAAATGGGTTCTTTAATTTTTTTAATCCTTTTAACGTGTATTATTTTTCTGTGATTAATTTTTTGTTTATCTAAATTACGTGTATCTCCCCCTAAAATAAACTTTTATAAGTTAATTATATACTCAGTGGTTTCCTTGCTTTAAAATATATTAAATTAAGATTATTTATTTTTAGAATTAAGTAATTTAAATTATTTTAATCTGTCTACCAAAAATATTCAAATTATTGTTTTCCAATTAAAGTCTTCACAAACTGAACTGATTAATTGTTTTAAACCTTTTTTTCTATTCAAAATTCACGGATCAAAATATCAATTTCAGCTAAAGTGAAAAAAGTTAAAATTTCCTTTTTCAAAATTTGGCTTCACATCTTATAAAATTCAAAAATTATCAAATGTGCATGGATTCTTTTAAAAAAAATTTATTTTATATCATGAATATTTCATAAATTTCTCAAATATTTAGATAAAAAATAATGATTAAGGGTTGTAGATAAAATAGAATTGATAAAGGCCATTTTACTTATCTGTTGAAGTAAATATGTAACAAAAGAAATATCTCTCATAGTCTCGTACATTTTCTTCTCGGAAATTTTGTCATTGTTTTTCTTTATGTAGGTTCTATCATATTTAAGAAAAGTCTGGTATATTATTTATTTTAATTAATTAATAGTGTAAAAATTGTTATATTAATATTACATTAAAATTAAATTTTATAATTAAACGAATAAAGTAGAATATTTTTGTCTAACTTCCTTCCTTTATTCGCTTTCATATCAAACGAAGGATAAAATATAAGGTGATTTATATAGACCAAGCCAATCTATTATATATATATATAATATAAATTTTTCTTTTTCTTTTTTAAACAAAATAATAAATTTTAAAGAAATATAGGTTCTAATTGTAAGATAAACTAATGCTCTATTTACATGACAAAAGCAATTCTTCGTTTAGCAAACTGGACTGTTAAAAAACAAGTTAAAAGCAATTTGTAAAGGGAGGACAATACACGGAAACAGAAGAAAGAGTCTTTTTATGTTTAGACCCACATGCACATAGTTCAGGGCTGCGTGTCAATCCTTCATGACATGCAGCACTTTCTTTTATTTGCATTATTTACTTTATTGTTATATTTAAAATTTAATTAAAAATATGGTTCATATTTTTAAATTAGAAATGATTTATACCTTCTGAAATTTAATTTCAGAAGTAAAAGAAAAATGAATGATGTGAATAATAAAAAGGAAATGTGTAAATAACAATTATTAATGGCTCGCCTGTACAAATCAAAAAGTGAGAACTCTATCTTCGGGATGCTTATCACTCCACAGGCTTCTCTCATCTCTCAAAGGAACCCTTTCTTCTCTCACAAGTGAGAGTTTTCACCTGTAAGGCATTATTTTCTCTTAAGTTTTTTTTTTTTCCTTATTTCATGTTTTATCGCCATCTCAATTATTGAAGTAAAATTTTAATTTTAATTAGATAATAATAATAATAATAATAATAATAATAATAATAATACGTAAAATACTGCACATAAGATTTGTTCAAATTTTATTCAATCAACTTGAACTGAAAAGGAAAAATAAAGAAAGAATAAAGTAAGGCCCCATCTTATCAAAATGAGTGTAATCTTAATATAGATTGTAAAAGTTTTTTCACTTCAAATTATCGGATCCAAACTCTATTTGATTTTATCATATTTTTTTGTCGGAAAAGTTATCATTGGCGAAATGAGATGATGATTTTAATGTTGACCAATGGATATCAAGCCCAGATTCGCACAAAGCCCAGAATACAGACATTCTCTCTTTATTTGTGAAGCCTTACGGTTGAGAAAGCCGTATTGAAAAGGGGAAAAAGAGAAAAGGGAAAGCAATAAAATGGAGGAGGAAATGAGTGGCTAGGTCAACCTGCTCTTGTTTACTGAAGCAAAAGAGGAATAAATTGAAATTGTCTTGGACATGAAGAAACCTAGTCCAAGTAAGTAAAGTACTTAAATCTACCCCCACTGCTAACAAACACACTCACTTACTTTGCCCCTCCAAACATGAGAGGTTCCACTACCCTCCTCAGTTTCTTCCTTTTTTTCTTCACCATTTTACTCACTCTTTTCTCCGCTCTTCCAATCTCCGCAGACACCTTAACATCATCCCAGTTCCTCAGAACCAACCAAACCCTCGTGTCACTCAATTCAATTTTCGAACTGGGTTTCTTCTCCTACACCAATTCCACCTGGTACTTGGGTATATGGTACAAAACCATTCACGATGACACAGATAAAACAGTGGTTTGGGTAGCCAACAGAGACACCCCACTTGAGAATTCCACTGGATTTCTCAAAATAGGCGACAAAGGAAACCTCGTCCTCTTCGATCAATCCCAGAAACCTGTTTGGTCCTCGAATCAAACCACCGCAACTACCATCAACCCAATTCTTCAGCTTTTGGATTCTGGAAACTTGGTTCTCAGAGAAGCAAACAACAATGATCCCACAAAGTTTCTTTGGCAAAGCTTCGATTACCCAACAGATACCCTTTTACCCGGGATGAAGCTTGGATGGAACTTCGACACAGGCATGGAGAGACACATAACCTCGTGGAGGGCCACAAGCCGAGACCCTTCAAGCGGAGATTTTTCCTTCAAGCTAGATTACCGTGGCCTCCCAGAGATCTTCTTGTGGAACAAAGACGAGAGAATCTATAGAAGTGGACCTTGGAATGGAGAGAGATTCAGCGGGGTACCCGAGATGCATCCCGTTACAGATTCCATTAAATTCTCGTTCTTTGTGGATCAACACGAGGTGTACTACACATTCTCAATTGGGAATCAATCCTTGTTTTCGAGACTCTCTGTGAGTTCCGTTGGGGAACTCCAACGCCTCACGTGGATACAAAGCAGCGAGGTTTGGAACAAGTTTTGGTATGCACCGAAAGACCAATGTGATAACTACAAAGAGTGTGGTCCATTCGGGATCTGTGACACGAATGCTTCACCGGTTTGCCAGTGTGTGAAAGGGTTCCGACCCATGAACCAGCAAGCCTGGAATTTGAGAGATGGGTCTGATGGGTGTGTAAGGAACACAGAATTGGGGTGCGAGAGCGACAGGTTCTTGCATCTGAAAGACGTGAAGTTGCCAGAGACAACCTCGGTGTTCGTGAATAGGAGCATGAGTTTAATGGAATGTGGGGATTTGTGTCACGGGAATTGTTCTTGCACTGCTTATGCCAACATTGAGGTCACTAATGGAGGAACTGGTTGTGTTATATGGGTTGGGGAGCTCTTAGACATGAGGCAGTACCCTGCAGGAGGCCAAGATCTCTATGTCAGATTAGCAGCTTCTGATGTAGGTATGTTGATTCTAATTCTATACTTTGTTTTTATGAATATATGTTTGCATTCTGGGTTTAATTTTCTTTTTTATGGATTTAAGGGGGCTGAGAACATATGCATTTGGTTGATTCAATTTAATAAAGATGGGTACTTTTTAATTTTTTTTTAAAATAAGCTATGAATGACTAGAAATTCAAACCCGACACTAGGAGGGGACGGTTCTTGAATACAGTGTGTGATTTCAGAATTTGGGGGACTTCATAGTAATAAACTTCACAATTGTTTGAATTACTGGGGAGAACAGTCAAACTCTGTGTTGAAAAGTTAGTGTCGGTAAAACGAAGACTGAAATAGAACTTGTTTGACATGCACACCTCAGCTTTTTTGTGCTCAATCTGTCTATAGGCCTAGAGCAGCTTATTCGTACATTTAAAACTAAAATAATAATAACAAAAAACTTTTGAAAAGAAAGTAACTTTTTTATTAAGTCACCTTAGGTAGGCGAAATATTAAAGTGACAAATAAGATTTAAGTTGCAGCAGGCGAAGTAACTATTTTTAATGTGTCATAAAAGACTGGATCAAAAGAAAATTTACAAAATAGTTAATGAAAATAGACATTTTATCTTAGAAAATATTCAAATAAGGAAAAATATTGAAATTATATATATCAAATCAATTTAATACCCACAAAATCGAATTGTTTTTTCTACATATATTATTATTTTATGAAAAAATAATGAGAAAACAAGAACTATATTTGGTTATGAAATAATAGTTTGAGAACACTGAAAGTGGACAAAGTAATTGGTTTTGGTATTTGGAATGTAATGAATGAGTTGGAAACTGAAGATCGGTGTTCCACCTTGGTGGTCCGTTTTAGAGTTTTTTTCCCTGCAATGGGACTGACTGAGACGTTGCGTTGTGAATGAGTCCAACGTTCATTTGGAAAATATGAATGACAAAAACCCACCAGTGTTGCGTTGTACGCAGCCTGCTATAGCTGCCCCACGTGCTCTTTAATGTTTCGGCTTCTATTGCTTTCAGATAATATTTATTATTTCAATTTTTATAATTATACCGCATATTTATATATTTTTCTTTTTCTCAAATCTCATTCACACCCAAAAATGCCAAAAGACCATATTATATCTCTTGTATAATATATTAGAATTTATTTAATTTTTTTAGAAGAAACATTGATTTTATTATTTAGCAATTTCTCCTCTAAGACTGAGTCTAAAACATTAAGTTTGACGGGGAAGATAGCAGTACTTATATTTTTGGCATATTGAGTGCAAACTTGTAGAAAGTACATAAAACCAAGATGCATAAAGCCAAATATAATTATAAGTAAACGAGTTAAGTAATATAGCTTGAGATTGAGTGTTTATATCTTTGTCTAAGGATTGCTCTCATAATACTTTACCATCGTTAGACAGCTCCTCTACTCCTTCATTGGTTATTTGGCATATCACTATTGATGTGCTTATAGCGTGTCCACAAATAAAATATTAAAAATTTTAAATATATTTTTAGTTTTTTTATTAGTACTTAATTTTACTTTCTATTTTTTTAAGCTTTTGGCCTTATATTTATACAATTTAGGTGTTTTTATCTATCTTATTGACATTATTACCTGAATAATTGATATGTGATCACCTCTTTGTTAGTCATATCATTCTTTTATAATCATTAAAGATAAAAATAAAAATATCAACTTTAACAAAGTTAGAAAGTTAGAAAGTCATAAAAGAAAGTTTGGATGAAACCAAAAAAAAAATCTTAAAAAGTATAAGACTTAGAACAAACCCAAATCAAATGTAAATATGTGATTTATCAAATGTAGATTTAAATACACAATAAGTTACATTAATTTATATATTTTCTGTCAAAAACAATTTTGTTTGATTATGTAATTATCCAAACTTTAACTTTGAGTGAATTTGTTATGGAGGGTTAAGGAAATTTTAAAATGATAGGAAGTTTATGATAAAAGAAATGAAAGTACTAACATAAGTTTTTAAGATTAAAGATATATTTATTATTTTAAAAATAAAAAAATAAAAATGATTATTTGTAAGTAATTAAAATGAAGTCTAAAAAGAAAAATGAATAAAATGGTAAACAATATTAGATGAGATTGAGAAGGGAAGGGAAGGTGTGACATTTTAAATGAATAAAAGCAACACGCATTACAGTACCCACAATTGTAGTAATCGGGTCTGCAACCAACAGTTATAAACACTGACGACGACGACTCCTGCAATGTCGTCAATAAGATTTGTGGTTCGCTTAAGCGCATCTGTTGCGGACAATGACTACCAAATGTTTCCTATGATACTTCGGATTCTGCGAATCTTCATATTTTCGTTATGAAAAATATTTTTTATTTTATGAAATTATTAAAAATTACTTATTGTATTTTTTTAAAGATTTCATCTAATGATATGGTAGTTGTAGTAGGTTAAATGTCAATATAATGCCCATATGACGATGTTATTGAATAACACAGTTTTGTTTTATGAAAAAAATATGATTATTTTTACTTATAATAAAATATTATTTTAAAATATTTAAAATTAATTGTAAAAATTGATGTGACTATTTTAAAATAAAATAATAATATTGACAGAAACGTTTCTTTTCGCAAAAAACTACACGGATGAACAACCCTGAAAATTTGAGAGAGAAAGGGATAGCGAATAGCAGATAAACTCGCATATCGAGGCGTTTGTTGAATGCATGAGTGTGGTGGTGCCGCCTTTGCCTTGATTTGTTGCGAGAGTTAATGAAATTAAATGCTTAATTAGAGGACTTTCTTAAAGTTTTGTTGGCCCACTATAAGACATTTATATAGTTCTCGTAGATTGGTGTCTACTGTACAGGACGGTGTTATGTTTTTTGTCCAACAACCAATGGATCCTCTCTACTTAAATGTTCGCCTCTATTCCGTGGGATGTGGGCCAACCCTTTTTGACTTGTAAGGTTTCATTAGTTTACATTTTTAGAATACCAAAATGTGTAATACGACTAATAGAAAAGGGATAAAGAATTTTTTTTAACTTTAATTTTTAATATTGTGTTTAAGTATTCGTAAATAATTTTTTAATAAAAAAAGTATATAGTTATTGTATTAAAAGTATAAAAATATAATAAATGCTTTTTTAATAAAATCTTATTATTATTAACTACTTATTTAGGATTAAGGTTAATAAAACTAATAAAAAATAATATAAAAAGTAATTGTCTACACTTTAATGCAAAAGATAGCATTGTCACGCGTTCTTTGTATTGTATTTTCAAAATGAAGATTTTGCATTTATTTTGTATGAAATCGTTTTCCGATTCATAGTTATCTAAACTAAATTAAATAGTGGACCTCTATTTGGTTGTAATACTTCCACTGTATGTTATAATAATGTGACAACTCGTAATAAATGCACGATCACAATTTTGCTGAAGTCACGTCTTGTCTTATCAAGAAGAAGTATGATCCTATTGAAATTTGAAAAAAAAAATGAGTTTAAGAGGGAATTAGAAAAGGTTAATGATAGAGGAAAAATGTTTGAATCATCTACTAACGGGACCATGAAATTGGTAAGGATAGGGATCTGGAGGATAAAAAGGAGCCCACCACCTTCTATGGTGGCACCCAAAAGGGGAATTTCATCCATCTTGGTGGGAGTAGGTGTCCTCAAAAAGTTGCACGTCTTCCTCAAACAGGATAGTCCATGAAATTCTATGAACAAACAAAATCTCATTCCCATTCTTTTCTTCCTAGCCTTTTTGTGACTTATTTTTCTATTTGAAAAATCCTTGATTAAAATATAGCAGTGTTTGATTTTACCAGGACACAAAGGAAAAGTAGAATCAATTTGAATTTAATTGGTCCTTCTCTAGATTCTTTGGCAGATATCATATTGTTAATTCCATGGAAGCACATGAAATGTGTTCCCTTGTACTTAAAAATAGCCGGAAGTGTGACATGCCTTTATGCCTGCAATATTTTACTTGCTTACGTTCAATTATCAATTACTTTGTACTTGGTCATCTTAATGCCAGAAAATTACTTCTTTTAAGAACTAGACCAAATGTAAAGTGGATATCTCAACTAAAAAAAACTATATATCAGATGACATAGGGTCTGAAGGAGGTTCTCACAAGGCGATTGATACAGCTAAAGCTGTTGGTATCATAGTTGGTGCTGCAGCTTTTATGCTTTTGGCAGTGGGTCTCTTTATCTTATGGAAGAAGAGGAAATTGCATTGTATATTGAAAGGGAAGACAGAACACAGAGGTAATGCACAATTAGTTTCCGACATACAATTGCACACGCTTTGTATGTGCAAACTATGCTGCATGTTAAGATGTTTCCTTGTTGTTCCAAAACCAGGTTTTCCGGAAAGAAGTCAAGATTTGTTAATGAGTGACGTGGTGTTTTCAAGTAATAGAGAACAATCAAGTGAAAGGAACTTGGAAGATCTAGAGTTGCCATTCTTTGATTTTAATACCATAACAACGGCTACAAACAACTTCTCTGAAGAGAATAAACTTGGACAAGGAGGCTTTGGAAGTGTTTACAAAGTACGTTGTTTTTATAGCTGCCATAAAGTAAACCTTGTAAAACACTTTTCATTCATTAAAACATAACTGGAATAATTGTGGTTATACCAGGGCTGTTTGATGGAAGGTCAAGAAATTGCTGTGAAGAGATTATCAAAAAATTCTGGGCAAGGCATTGAAGAATTCAAGAATGAGGTCAAGTTGATTGTCAAGCTTCAACATCGGAATCTTGTAAGACTACTTGGTTGCAGCATTCAGATGGATGAGAAGATGCTAGTGTACGAATACATGGAAAATAGAAGCCTTGATGCCACTTTGTTTGGTAAATCATTTCAACATTCTGATTCTTAAGCTTGTTAATGTTTTCTCTTCACCTGTTTGGCTCATTCAGGCTTTAATGTGTATTAAAAAAAAACTTGATATTATTTATAATAATCATGATCCAGACAAAGCAAAAAGATCATCATTGGATTGGCAAAGGCGCTTCAACATTATATGTGGAATAGCAAGAGGGCTTCTTTATCTGCACCAAGATTCCAGATTTAGGATCATCCATAGGGATCTCAAGGCAAGCAACATTCTACTTGACAAAGAGATGAACCCAAAGATATCAGACTTTGGGATGGCAAGAATTTTTGGCACGGATCAGACAGAAGCAAATACAGTTAGAGTGGTTGGTACATAGTGAGTACAACATGACATAATAATACTACTCCCTAAAACAGCCAAACATAATGATGAATTGATGATATTTACTATTATTTCTTATATGCAGTGGCTATATGTCCCCTGAATATGCTATGGATGGAATCTTCTCAGTTAAATCCGATGTTTTTAGTTTCGGGGTTCTTGTGCTGGAGATCATAAGTGGAAAAAAAAATAGAGGGTTCTATTATGCAAACAAGGAATTGAATCTTCTAGGCCATGTATGTGGAGGAATTGCTTTTATTAGTACGTTACTTTGTTCTAATATTATGTCCTGCATTCTAACAAATAATCGATTGCACCTTTTTTATAGACATGGAAGCTGTGGAAAGAAGGAAATGCATTGGAACTGATAGATTCGTCTATTGACAATTCATATTCACCATCTGATGTTCATAGATGCATACAGGTTGGGCTCTTATGTGTTCAAGAACGTGCAGAAGACAGACCAACAATGTCTTCAGTGGTGTTGATGCTGAGTAGTGATACTGCATCAATGCCACAACCCAAAAATCCTGGGTTTTGCTTAGGAAGAAATCCTATGGAAACTGATACTTCTTCAAGTAAACAAGATGAATCATGCACTGTGAACCAAGTCACAGTCACAATGGTAGATGCTAGGTAGTAAAAGAATTAATACCTCATCTATCACGAGTATATTTACAGAATGTTCCAAAAATTCTTTTAAGTAATCCTTCATCTAATAGTTGTGATACCTTTGAGATCTAATATGATCTTGTTTTGGTGTAATATATTAGAGATGCCTTCAGTAAATTGTAATCTAGAAGTTTGAGATACTTGTTGTCTCTGACATCCGGCTTCAATATACACACACATGTTTTTTATCCTTGTCTTGCTCTTTCAGGAAGATCTCATTGTTTAAAACTAATAGGGAACATATTTAGGCTTTTTCTTTAGATCAAGATTTGTGTTTCCACCCTTCATAATTGGCACTAGCTTTTACAATTTTGCATGAGAAAATTAGCCACATATGAAGGTATTTGTAAGTAGGGTGTGAAGCCCAACCCAACCTATTTCGTACGAGGCATGTACATGGATGTTATTTTAGTTGCACGACCATGTTGAAGACCTCATGTTGGATATTTATGACTCAAAATTGTGGTGATTTGCATGGGCCAACAATTGTGCAAAATCATGCTAAATTCAGCATTTCCTCAATACTAACACCTAAATTAAAATAATAATAAAAAATTCGCACTTCGCATCTCCAATGGCTACAAAAATATTATGTCTAAATTAAGTTTTGTTTTTTAAGAATTTCGTTTATACGATTCGTTAAAGTTGAGTTTACGGAATACTTCCTTTCAATTGATCCACATGTTTGGTGGTATCAAGTTTAAGTATTTAAATGACTACAAAAGTATCTCTTACATCCAAATCAAGATTTTTTAAAGATTTGATTAACCTCAGAAGTTAGAACTGAGTTTGAGAATTTAAAATGAATATATATTTTTATTAAAAAAATACTTTAATTATATTAAAGTTATAAAAATATAATATATATATATATATATATATTAATAAAATCTTACTATCATGATTCTTTAACTTTTAATACTGAATTAACAATTTTAATATAATTTTCTTTTCTTATAAGTTGACTTCATTTAGATATTTATTGTCAATTATAATCATATTCATCAATTTATAACGCATGTAACATGGAAATGCATTTGTCAATCTAGCAAGAAATATTTCTTGGTTAGTTATCAACATATTGCAAAGATCAATTTTACGAATACGAGTTTCATTCATCCAGATATTTTCGCAAAGAAACATTTATAAGTTCAAATATTCAAACAACTCACCAAATAAATCAAACCAAGGGTATTTTTCATGTAACTCGTAGTAGGACAATTTTTAATAGAGATATTTTAGAAAAATTAATTTATTTTACCATAATAATTGATAAGACTAATTATTTTCTTAACAAATGTACATTAATATTAAATAATATCTAATATGAGGAAAAAGTAGTAACTTAACTGCAGTTTAGACTAAAAGCGTTGTGAAAACCTCTGTTTTCAAGCTTATTTACATAAAGAAGTAGTTTTGTAGCCATTGTTATTGTGTTAAAATCCAATAACGATAACTGCAAGTCATCCATATTCATTTCATTCATGTGTTCTTTGTTACCTAAAAGCATAACCTTTTGTAACACCAAATTCTGACATCTATCTGTAACATCAAGTTTATAGAAAACAAAGAAAACATTATAAAGCAAAAATGCTTACCTAATGAATATAGCATTAATTATAATGTGAAGCAGCACAGCAATCCTCTGAGTATCTATAATGGGCACTACTTCTGTATTTCCTTTTTATTTTTTTTCACTTTCCATATGCATGTGTTAACACTGAATCAAGCTACCAAATTGGACATTATGTGCCAATCAATGTTTAGCCTAATATAATCAGTTGACAGCTGGGGCAAGTTACAGTTAAAGTCGGCAAGAAATTTTAGCCAAGAAAAATGCCCATTAGTCAATATGCAAAAATTCAACTGGTCATCTGAAAAATAGTGTTTTTTTATACAAAAATGATTATTTTTCTTAATATATTTGAGCTCAAATATCCTAATTATTGTTATTAAAAAAAGTTTTTGACTAGATAAACGAATGGTAGATCCACCACATATCCAATTAACAGCTATATTTCCTAGTAAAAAATCACGGTTAAATCTGGTGGTTGCATGATTATTCATGGTTGAGGATTGTACATTAAGTGACGCTAAAGCAAGGTTGAAAGGTCATTTACTTAGAAAATAAAGACAAGATTACTTGTAGATTCATTTAAGAAATCAAGTTTATTTAATAAAATTGTTTCAAAATTTTAAAATACATAGGGTCAAGAAAAATATGGCAAGTTATTGTAGTTACACATACATCCTTGCATTAACTAAATATCACACGACTTGAGAAAATTCCAAGCCCTTTATCTACATGTAACACCAAAGTGACTAAAAGAAGAGAAGACAAGAAAAACACTCCTGATGAATGACTAACTTCAAGTCGCAACTCCACTTAGAAAAATCGATCCTGCTGACTAGACCCTCGCATTGCTAAATCATTTTTTTTCTTTAACCAGAATATGAAATAGAAAAAAAATCCTCAAACACTAATTTAATTAGAGGGTTTTAAAAATTTCCATTTTAATGCATTTAATTATCGATCAATAAATCAAGCTTGACAAGCACATTTAAGAGGATCAATCATGTTCCATATGAAAACTATCAAATCATCAATGCCAAACCCAACAATTAGATCAATCCTGTCACATCAAAGTGATGAGACGGAATATATTTAGAAAAAACAAACCCATGTTTGAAATCATGGATCGTAGTTAATAGTGGTACTTATTGCTTGCAAGATCTTAAGCTCGTGGAATCTCTGAGCTTCAACTGTAACCATTGTTCCCACTCCAGCTGTCAAGATACCAAGAGACCTTACCCCCTTCATAGAAGCAAACCTGCTACAAATAATTAGGGTTAGATTATCTTCTGCTAAGGCAAAAATTAGACTTTAAGTTCCATTTTTGCAAATGACAAAAAAAATTTATATAAAATTTGTTTAAACAAATTTGTGTGCTTTTTCAAGAAGAAGAAAGGGACTGAACGTGGGAATGGGTAAGTTGGATATTGGGATGGGAGTGGGGTGGAGAAAGAGAGGGTTGAGAGAGGAAGAAAGGAGTTGAATATATATATATAAAAAATAAAAAAATAAAAAAGGTTAGACAGGAGACTGAGGAGAGGTGTCACAAAATTTGCTTAAAAAAAAGTAAATTTTGTGTATTTTTTTATTATTTTCTTTTTGAGTAAATTTATTTTTGTTTAAATAAAAATAAAATTTAATGTATAATTCTGGCCACAACAGATGAGGATCAGTGTGATAGTAAGAAATCCTCTTAATTACACTTAGATAAATGACTTGACATTGAAATATTTTGTACCAACATCCCATCAATTCGTCTCCAAAATGTCGACAAGACCAACCCTTCGTTCGCGATTAAGAACAGTGTTGTATTAAACATTTTCCTTAGGCCTTTGATTTTACAAGGAATGTTATAGCTTTTGATGGGACAAATAATATATGTTTAGAACCCTAATTACGTGTGGGTCTCTAAAGGCTGTCAAGTCAATTTTCTTTTTGATCGATTGCGAGCTAGATTCATGTATGTGGAAAGCAGCCTTTATCAGAAATAGTTTCTGGTAATTAATCATTAATTAAATGTACTTCACAAATCGCAATAACGGTTTGTTAATTTTTTTTCTCCGACTCTGGACTCTTGAAGACCAAGATTAGGGTTATAGTGAAGTGTGAACACACTTACCCGCTCTACTCTTCCTAGTGTATTTCTTCTCATAAAATGCGATAGTGGTATTAAAGAGGACCTCCATGCACCAAGCTAAAACCCTTCCCTGCTTTGTCATGCACCAAAATCATATACATAGCATTTGGTTGCTTAATGCATTGATTCTATTCCTCATCTTCTCATTTTGCACATGTTCTGACACCATATCTACTGGCAAAGCCTTAAGAGATGGGGAGCTTCTTGTTTCTGAAGATAAAACATTTGCTCTTGGATTCTTCAGTTCAGGAAAGTCCACATCCCGCTATGTGGGAATATGGTACAATAATTTGCCAGAAAAAACTATTGTTTGGGTTGCAAACAGAGATAATCCCATCAATGACACTTCTGGGGTGCTCTCCATCAACCCTGATGGAAACCTAGTCCTCCACCACAACTATAGCACTGTTCCCATTTGGTCTACCAATGTTTCACTCCCCCAACCAAACAGCACCAATGTTATAGCTCAACTTTCAGACATAGCAAACCTTGTTCTGATTGTGAACAACAACAATACTGTCATATGGCAAAGCTTTGATCATCCCACAGACACATTGCTTCCATATCTAAGACTTGGTTTTGACAGAAGAACCAACCAGAGTTGGTTCCTCCAATCTTGGATAACAGATGATGACCCAGGAATAGGTTCTTACACATTGAAATTCAGCACTAGTGGGAAACCACAATTGTTCTTGTACAATCAGAACCTTCCCTGGTGGCGAGGTGGATCATGGAATGGTGAACTATTGATGGGTATACCCAACATGAAACGAGATATGTTAACTTTTAACGTTTCTTTCGTGGAAGATGAAAACCAAGTAGCACTCTCATATAACATGTTTGATAGGTCCATGATCACTAGGATAGTAGTTCAGCAATCAGGTTTCTTTCAAACATTCACTTGGGATAACCAAAAGGGTCAATGGAATAGGTACTGGTCTGAACCAACAAATCAATGTGATAACTATGGAACCTGTGGATCAAATAGTAACTGTGACCCTTTGAACTTTGAGGACTTTCGATGTGCTTGTCTTCCTGGGTTTGAACCCAAATTCCCACATGATTGGTATGAGAATAGAGATGAGTCAGGAGGGTGTGTGAGGAAGCGAGGTGTATCCATTTGTGGGAATGGAGAAGGGTTTGTGAAAGTTGAGGGTGTGAAGATTCCTGATACCTCAGTGGCAAATGCCAAAGGGGGTTTGAGTTTGGAAGAATGTGAGAATGAATGCTTCAGAAACTGTTCTTGCACTGCCTATGCAGTTGCTGATGTGAGGAATGGTGGAAGTGGGTGCTTGGCATGGCATGGGAATTTAGTAGACGTGCAAAAACTAAGTGATCAAGGCCAAGATTTATTTGTGCGTGTTGATGCAGTTGAATTAGGTACACTCTCCCACTATGTTTTTCTTTGTAAATTTGACAACATGTATATCTCTTTAAGGGTTCTGATTCAACCTCTTTGGACTTGTTTTTTCTTAGCCAATTACTACAAAAAGACAAAAGTACTTGGTAAAAAGAGGATGGTTGGAATTCTGGTAGCTTCTTCTGTACTTGCCGGTGTCATTCTCTTCTCCTGTGTGTATTACCTATGGAAGAGAAAAGGCAAAGGTATGTAATTTATGGAAAATGTTTTATGTATAGCTAAAAGTTGATATTTTTATATAATTTTTGTATTTTGGTTGTACGTAGAAAAGATAAAATACAAGTAAAAGATAAATTGATAATATAGAGTGTTGTATAACATGTTAATTTCAAGTAGTTTAAATAATGAAAATTTACTTCCAAAGATGATGTTTAGTTGTACACCAGTCACCAATACGGGAAGTAACAAGATCAAAAGAGTATTGAAAATTGGGGTTCAGACTTTTATAACATCATTAGATATTAGAATGGAAGCGATTCAAACTGCTAAAGGAAGTTCAGTTCACATAGTCCCATATGAATTTTCAAAAGAATGAACACATTTCCCTGTTCTTTTACTTGTGCAATTATGTCCCCTATTCTCATAAGTTCATTACGTTTGCAGTCTGTCTCGCTATGTATATGCTTGAAAATTCGTTCATCTCTCAGTTTAAAAAATCATAACATTCACGAATAATTTGTAAGCAAGAAATATAGAGCAAATTTAGGAATATTTCCCTCATTCAAAGAAACAACACAAATGAAATTTTGTTTTCTTATTTCATATAGAAAGTAACAGCAACACAAATGTGAGTGTGTTGAATGCATTCTACCATAATATCAAGTCTTGTATATTTTTACTTCAAGGAACTATTTTTTTTACCATTCTTTAAGAATGTGGTCATATTGCTCAATGAAATAAAAAATTACCCTTCAAATTTGTGAGTTACTTGAAATCTTATTTTAGAACATTTGTAATTTCAGGTGAAATGATGCAACATTTAAACCAAGAATCTGCACGAGAAGGGAACGATGTTCAAAGCAACTCACATCCAAATCTTCCCTTTTTTAGCTTTAAATTGATAATGGCATCCACAAGAAATTTTTCTGATGAGAATAAGCTTGGACAAGGAGGATTTGGCTCTGTCTATAAGGTAATTAAAACTCTGCCTTAACCAAATATTGTGAGAACATGTTTTTATTTCTCTTTACTTTCCTTTCAACTACGTTGTAGAAAAATGATGCAAAAATGTTGAAATAGGATTTAATACTTACATATATTTTAGGGTTGCCTAGTCAATGGACAAGAGATAGCGGTGAAAAGATTGTCCAAACATTCAGGGCAAGGGACAAAAGAGTTTAAAAATGAAGTTACACTGCTAGTTAAACTCCAACACAGAAATCTGGTGAAGTTGCTCGGTTGTTGCTTTGAAAAAGAAGAAAGGATGCTAGTTTATGAATACCTACCAAATAAAAGCTTGGACTTCTTTATATTTGGTATGACTTTCTCTATTCATTCTTCATCTCTCCAACTTGTATATATAAATTTGCATTTAGGTTAACATAAAGTATTATATAAATTTCAAAATTATTTTTAAGATGAGAAAATAAAATATCTTAAAGTTATTCTTTTTTTTGTTTTAAAATTAAAAATTCATCTTAACAAACAAGTTTTATTTTTAAAAATAAAAAACAAATTGACCCTTAATTTTCTATTTTAAAAAAATGAAATCATAACGCATATATATATATATATATATATATATATATATATATAAAATTTTTGTACATATTTTAAGCAAGAGTCCCCTGCCTCAAGAGTATGCATATATAATTTTTGTACATATTTTAAGCTAGAGTCCTCTGCCTCAAGAGTATGCTATATATTTCCACCAACTACTTCATATAACAAACTAAAATTTTAAATAATTATAAACAGGAATTCATTAAAACAAAATTTCAAATAACAAAGTGCAATGTGCTACACATGTTACAAAATGCAATGTGCTCCTGTTAGATCACTAGCACTAAATTCACCATACCCTTTGCCAAGTGCTACATGATTTATTCAACAGAAATATTTTACTGATTTTCATGCTAAATACTATACTTGTATTGTTAAGTAGAAATAATGAGATTCTAAAATATACAAAATGCAAATAAAAGAAAATTTTATATTCTTTTCTCATTGTATATTTTGATAAATTCCTATGGTTTTCAGCTAAGACTAAATGTGCAATTACTGTCTTTCATGGTGTTAAATTTCTGAAAATTTTATTGATTAAATTTAGATAAAAATCAAAGGTCATTACTGGTTTGGAATAAGCGCTTTGAAATCATTTTGGGGATTGCTCGTGGTGTTCTATATCTTCATCAAGACTCAAGGCTAAAAATAATCCACAGAGATCTAAAACCCAGTAACGTTCTGCTTGATGCTGCAATGAATCCTAAAATCTCAGATTTTGGTATGGCTAGAATATTTGGAGAAGATCAAATCCAAGCAAGGACGAAAAGAGTGGTTGGAACATAGTAAGTTTCATACTCTTATATTGATTTATGTTATTCAAAATGTCCTAACCATTTTTAATAATTGTAGTGGTTATATGTCACCGGAATATGCAATGGATGGACGATATTCAACAAAATCTGATGTCTTTAGTTTTGGTGTCTTATTATTGGAGATTATCGCTGGCAAGAGGAACACAGATTGTGAAATAGGAAGATCCTCTCCAAATTTAATTGGATATGTAAGTTGAAAAGGCAAAAAGACGATGTAACCTTAAAAATGGTCAACAAATTATTAATGTAATTTTACTCATTTTAAAGATTGTGTTATACATTTGTAGGTGTGGACACTTTGGACAGAGGGAAAGGCCTTGGATATGGTTGATACAACATTGGATCAGTCTTATCCCCCTAATCTTGTTTTGAGGTGCATTCAAATTGGACTCTTGTGTGTGCAAGAAAATGCCACTAATAGACCCTCCATGTTAGATGTTGTTTTCATGTTAAGTAATGAAACACCTCTTTGCCTACCCCAAAAACCAGCATTTTTATTCAATGGGAACCAAGGTTTGAAAGAGTCATCAACATCGGGAGGAGGATCCTCAATAAATGAAGTAACAGAGACTACCATTTGTGCTCGCTGAAAGCTGCTTCAAATATGCAATTGCTTCACATTTTTCCATCAAATGTGAGTTTGGTAGTAGATAGGTTCTACAGTTGTTTAGCTTGAGACTTTTTCTGATTTCCATGTGTAAATGTATAGCATTTTACCAATATGATGTTGACACAAGCTCTTAAGCTTCTAGGTTAGCTCGTATACTTTGTTCAATATGGTCTCGTAAAATAATTAGTTGGAATTTTGTGTATTGATATTCATTAAAGTTGTTTTAGAAAGAAAGGAACAATCCACATCAATGTTTTAAAAAATGGATCAATTATTAAGTTGATGAAAACCAAAATTAAACTTCAAGTAATTAAATAAGTATATAAATCATATATAATCAAAATTATATTATTTACTATATTTGTAATATTAAAAACTAAACACAATAATTATAAATAGTAATAAATATATATTTAGGTGCTAATAGCACCTCAAATTAAGTAACGGAAGTTCAAATTTCCAACACTAGAAAGATATTATAAAATCATTGAGAGAAAGTATGTTTTCATTTTTATTCAATAATTTTTTTAGTTAATACTTAAAAGTGTGTTAAAAAAAAAAGAGTATTGAAGAATATGTTAATAGCATTTCTCTTATAAAGTTTTGGGTTCAAAGCAGTATTCAAATTTTTTTGTATAGTTGCTATTTTTTTTTATCGATGTAAATATTTCATTAAAAATTTAATTCAATATTAACTAAAATTTCAATTCCAAATTAATGTTTTACTAGTGAATAATAGTTAGAAAAATGTTAAAAAAAAGTATGCTAAATATTGTGTTGTTAACATTCTTTTTAAAGTTTCGGGTTTCATGCAGTATCTAAATATATTTGTGTACTTGATTTTTTTTATTAGTGTACATTTTCTTATTAAAATTTTTATTTTAAATTTATGCTTTAGTAATTATTTGTATTTTTATTATATTTTAAAGTATATAAATATAAAAAATTAATTGTATAATTTGTTGATAAGTCATTAATATCAATTAAATATTAATATCTATAAATAAATTTAAAATTTTTTAAAATAAAATATTTTTATCAATAATTGCATGATATTTTTTTTTGAAAAATCACACATAAAGAATTATGTAATTATTTTTATTATAAAATTTATAATTTACAACATATACTTTTATAACTTTATATCAGTAATTTTTTTGCTTATATATTTTATTAAATTTAAATACATTTGTTTCATTGAAAACTTAAAATATAGTATATGGATTTTCAGATTGAATAAATTAAAAATATTTGAAATATAGCACATAATTTTTAAATACTAAAATTTAAGTCTAAAGATTAAAATTAATAAAACTAATAAAATAAAAGTTTGATTAATCTCAACTTTTTAAACTTGAATTTAAACATTTTTAAAAATGATTTCTTATTAAAAATATATATATTATATTAAAATTATAAATATGTATTTTAATTAAAATTTTAATATTATTAGTTTTATAAATCCATTCTTAAAAATCAAAATTAATATTTTTTTATAAGGTAATTAAGACGACTCTCATAATTTATATTTTTAATTGTCACTTCCTTGCAGTCAACTTAACACCTGTGAGTTAGGACCTGTTCATCTGCCATGGAGTCAACTCCTATTGGCCTATTTGTTCATAGATAACCATGAGTGTCAAGTACCGTCAATTATGTTAATCATTGACTTTGTTTATGTTACTTAATCATGATCTTAATTAGATAGTTTCTTGTACAATTTGGTTATGTTCTCCTGTGAATTTTTTAATATTTTTATCATTATTGTATAAATTAAACACACAACAGTTAGAAAATTAATGTTTATTTACCTAATTGTATTTTAAGAGCAGATGTTAGTACTTGTTTATTTATTATAATTTTATAATTTAAAGTATTATTTTTTTAATGTTTTTCACAACATATAATAATAAATAATAACTCATTATTAAAATATTAAATTGGCCTCTAAAAAATAAATTCTTTTAATTTAATCAGTAATAGATGGAAATATTAAAGTTAATTTATAAATACTTGCTTTATAATTTATTTGTTTTTAATTAAAATTTATTAGTTAACCTTAACAAAAATAGTAATGTAACTGCAATATAGTATACTAATAAAGACTTTTTTAAATCGTTTTATCATATAATATTTTAATATGTCAAACTCCATTAAAAATATCACGTTACTATATTCAGTGATAAAATACATATTTAAAAGTAAATTTTAATATTTTACTTTTTTTAGAATTAAATTAAAATATTGTCTATCTTTTAAAAAATTTAATATTTTAGTTAGAATTTTTAAAAACTATTACACTTAATTTTATCAATACATTAAATAAAAAATTGATGATATTATATTCCATATTCTTATTGGGTATTGATATTAAAAATTTATTTTAAATAAATTTATAAATTAAATATATTTTAATTAATAAAATTGATAACTATTCAAATTTTAAAGCATATTTAACGCAAATATTATTTTATTAATCTTAATTTTAAAAAATTAAATTTAAAATCCGTACATCAGAACCATCAATTATATTGCTGTAAACTATCATCATCAACCAGTTTTAGGTTTTCTCTGCCATAAAGAAATTTAGAATTAATTCCATACGTTCTAAGTTGTTTATTTAAACCTATTTTGAGGGGAGAAAATATCAAAATGAAATAAATAATTGATATAACTTGTTATAAACAATTATTCATTCGATGAATTCACTTCTTCTCACTTCTTTAAAATAATAAATTATGAAGAGTAAAAGATAAATAAATAAGTGTTAACTAAAAATAAGCTAATACTCTTTAATCATAAGCTTCAAATTTGTTATATTTTAAATAAATTATATTCCTTATAGAAATAATTAAAAACTATAAACTTATTTTTATAAAAACTATCAAACTACGATAAATAATATTTTTTAAGCGTTATTCGCATAATCCACAAAAATAATGCAGTCAAACGCACAATGTCTATAACCAAAAGAAAAACAAACGCACTATGTCTTCAGCCGCCTCTACAGTAATATAAAATGCAGGACGCTACTTTTATTTTTCCCTTACCTTATTAAATTTTCTATTTTTTATATGCAATAAATTTTAATTAAAATATGTAGATAATATAAAAAGATCCCAAAAATCAAGGGGTACACGATCCAAAGCAGAAGAAGGGGAAAATTAAAGTCAACGGGATGGGAAATAACTTGTTCCCGCACCCACTCTACCCTTCATAATGGTATTTCTTTTCACAGCATGCAACAGGGGCATCAAAGAGTAACTCTATGCAATCACCTGAGAATCTTCCCTGCGTTCACATGCGCCAAAATCATAAACACAACATTAGGGACCTTTATTCTTTGATTATACTTCTCAGCTTCTCATTTTGCTCTTGTTCTGATACCATATCTACCGATAAAGCCATCAAAGATGGTGAGCTCCTTATTTCTAAAGCTAACAAATTTGCTCTTGGATTCTTCAGTCCAAGCAAGTCCACATCCCGCTATGTGGGAATATGGTACAACAATTTGCCAATCCAAACTGTTGTTTGGGTTGCAAACAGAGACAATCCTATCAATGACACTTCTGGGGTTCTCTCAATCAACCCACATGGAAATCTAGTCCTTCACCATAACCACAGTACCATTCCCATTTGGTCTACCAATGTTTCACTCCCCCAATCAAACAACACCAACGTTATAGCTCAACTCTTAGACACAGCAAACCTTGTTCTAATTCTAAACGACACCAAAACTGTCATATGGCAAGGCTTTGATCATCCCACAGACACCTTTCTTCCAACTCTAAGACTTGGTTTTGACAAAAGAACCAACCAGAGTTGGTCCATCCAATCTTGGAAAACAGATGATGACCCAGGATCAGGTGCTTACACTTTGAAATTCAGCAACATTGGGAAACCACAGTTGTTCCTGTACCAGCAGAACACTCCCTTGTGGCGAGGTGGATCGTGGAACGGTGAATACTTTTCGGGTGTACCCAACATGATACGAGATTTGTCGAGTTTGAACTTCTCTTTTGTAGAAGATGACAACCAAGTAGTACTCTCATTTGACCCTATTGACAAGTCCCTCATCATTAGGCCATTAGTTCAGCAACCAGGTTTCTTTCAAGCCTTCACTTGGGATAACCAAAATGATCAATGGAGCAGGTACTGGTCTGAGCCAGCAAATCAATGTGATAACTACGGAACCTGTGGATCAAACAGTAACTGTAACCCTTTAAACTTCGATGACTTTCGGTGTACTTGTCTTCCCGGGTATGAACCCAAGTTCCCAAATGATTGGTACCAAAATAAAGATACCTCAGGAGGTTGTGTGAGGAATGAAGGTGCATCCGTTTGTAGGAATGGAGAAGGGTTTGTCAAAGTTGAAAGCTTGAAGCTTCCTGATACCTCTGTGGCCATTGTCCAAGCGAATTTGAGTTTGGATGAGTGCGAGAATGAATGCTTGAGAAACTGTTCTTGCACTGCTTATGCTGTTGCTGATGTGAGAAATGGTGGAAGTGGGTGCTTGGCTTGGCATGGGAATTTAACTGACTCGCAAATACTTAGTGGTCAAGGCCAAGATTTATTTGTGCGTGTTGACGCGGCTGAACTGGGTATTCTTTACCACTTTGTCTTTTCTTTGTGAATTTTAACATCACGTTGAACTTTTGGGCTCTAATTTAACCTTTTCTGACTCGTTTGATTTCTCATTTTCAGCAATTTACTACAATAAAACAGAAAGAACACACGGTAAAAGGAAGATGCTTGCAATTGTGGTAGCTTCTGTATCTGCTGCAGGTGTCATTCTCCTCCTCTGTTGCGTGTACTACCTGTGGAAAAGAAAAGGCAAAGGTATGTCATTTACTTCAAGGATGATGATGTAACGCCATAGTCTAGCGACGTCGCTTTTAAGTACACTCCTTTAGTATAATAGTTAAAATTTATGAAGTTATAAAAATACCATAATCGTTGAATCAAGATTAAGATTTACATTTTAACTATTTTTAATTAATAACTCAAATATGCTAAAAATATATTTGTAGCATTTCTCTTCTCCATTATGAAAAGTAATAATGTTATAAAATAAATAATTTCTTGATTATTTATTCAAAGGAATCTGAATCCTCTCTTGTTTTAGTTTAACCATGATAACTAAAAATATAAAAAATACATTAACATGATCTTCATGTCACATAAAAAAATCTTTTCTCTTATTCATAGTACATATTGAGCCGCTCTAAGCTTTTGTTGAGGTATCTAAAAAAAATTGCCTCTAAAAAGAGTATTAATTAGTCTATAAATATTATTAAGAGTAAATATTTTTAATTAAAAATAAATTTATCGTCATAAATGTTAATAAAAATTTCACTTAAAAATATAAAAATAAATTATAAATAAAATAAATAATAATAATTTAAAAAATATAAAAGAAGAAATAATTACGTTGCAACACTAAATTTATTTATATATATATATATATATATATATATATATATATATGTATGTATATGGTTGGGAACCCCTTATATCATAACTCAGATGGAGAACAATAGCACTTTCTAATACTTGGAGTAAACTCATATGCATTTTTCTTATACTCGTGCTAACTATTCTTTCTGAATCATAATAAAGAGGACAGTAGCAACAAGATCTTTCATTTAGAAATTTTCTGACGCACAGGATCTATTAACATGGCAAGTGCAGAGTATACTTCTTTCTAGTTAGGGACTAGAAGATAGTCATTATAAACAAAGCTTTCAGAGAGAGAAATTTAGAAACAACTCATGATATATGAAAAACACACAAGTTTTATTTTAGTTCGATCTGCCTTCAAATGACAAGGGTTCCTCCTTATATAGAGGATGGACAACAAACATAATTATAACACCAGATAGGTTTGGATAAAATCCAACCTTTTACAAAATAACTTTGCGCTAACAAACAAAACAAGAACTTTAAGTACATCCGAGTTATATAAAATATATAAAGATACTTTATTACATAAAGTTGCTTTATCAAAGATTCTTCAGTCATTGAAGATAGGCTCATAACTTGGCAACAAGTTGGGATCACCATCAGTACCCCAACCTTCTTGGTCCATGACAGATTCATATGAATCTTATGAGTCTATTATTGTAGCAGTATGTGATGATTCAGCTTCATCACGAATTATGACATGACTCTCTATTTCTCAATTTTCAAAAGTAATACTGGAGCAAATTAAAGGTGGATTAACTTGCTGAATCTTATCCCACATAGTTGGATTATCAGTATCAGAGGGACAAATGATATCCATTGCTTTCAGTTTGGAACATGTGGATTTAACCTTGATCATTTCATCTTGAGTTCCATTTTCAACATGAAGATGGATATTCAGATATGCCTGATTGAAAGGTGGTCTATCTGGTTCAGATATTTCAAGTATATTTTCATAAGTATTATAGACCTTTACTTGATTCTAAGTATAGAGTAATTTTGAAACTGGATGCTCAAAATAAGGTCTATGAATAATCACCACAGTCACATGCTTTGGAAACTCAGTTAGAGGCAAATTGATTTCTTTCCATATGCTAAGCCTTTCTATTTCAGATTGAACATCTCTTTTCCAATTATGGATAGGTTGAAACCAAGTTAGGAACTTCCACAATAAAGAGGAATTATTTTGAGGATCATTTAGAAATTCAAACATTCTGAATGTGGGAAAAACTATGGGATAATGGAATAAAAGAGAGACACAACAAAGATACCATACATCTTCTATCATAGGAAAATTCATTAATAAAGCAAAAATGTTTAGGTATGGTACATCAGGATGAAACCAGGAAGGTTTAAGTTTGACACCATGGTTATGGAGGGAAAGAGCCAGATAGTGGAACATTGATTCCGAGCAAAATCTTTGATATATTTTGTGGTAATGGGACCATCATTCCTCATATCAGAAGGAAATATCTGAAGAGGATTATGACTAGTACTGGCTTCCACAATATTGAGTGGAAAAATTAATGGATAGGTGTTTATAGAGGTAACAATAGAAATGGGCTTTTTGGGTCTGGACAATAGATCATGGACAATATTCTTTTCTCCTTTAATATGCTTAAAAGTAAAATCATACTTGGAAAACTAATTTTTTAGTCTGAGAACTTGCGGATCAGGTGGTATTTTATTTTTAAATTCAAAGAGTGCAGGAAAAGCAGAGTTGTCCATTTGAATCTCAAAATTATGACCTCTAAGATAGAAGTCAAATTTTTGGATCTCATTTTTAACTGCAAGGGCTTCCTTGTAAGTAGTATGATAATGCTTCTCAGATTCTTTGAATTTTCCACTGGCATGACCACAATATGCCTTTTTTTCATTGATTTCTTCAAGTAAAACAGCTCCTCAATAGTGATCACTAGCATCTGTTTGTAAAATTCTTTTACCATCACCAGAGATCTTCAATGATGGAGGATTTTGAGCTATGTTTTTAAGATGAAAAAAAGCTTTAGTCTACTTATTACTCCATGGTGGAGGATTCTTTCTTAGAAGTTTTAACAAAGGGCTTGTATACTTGGCTGCATTAGGAATGAAATCTCTAATGTAATTCAAAACTCTAAGAAACTGTTGAATTTGTTTGATTGTGAAATTTTCATTAGAAAAATTCAGAAGTTCTTCTGCAACATGAGGTTGAGGTTGATAATTTTTCTGAGAAAAATGCATTCCCAAAAAATCTATCTGGGTTTGAGTCAACTGAAAATAGATGGACTCTCTTTAGGACCCATTTTATTGACAGGATTTATCACCACTTTAGCTACGTTAGCAGCTCAGCCGGTTACTCGAGAATCACCATTTTTTTATTTCCTGATGTTAGCAATGTATAGTGGTCAAATAGGATCATTTTCTTCTTGAGACATTTTACTTTTTTTCATCATGTGGGAATTAGAAGGTATTAGCAAGATTAAAAAACTTGTTTAAAAGATTTCTATGAGATTCTGTGTCTTTTAAGAAAAGTAATACATCATCTATGTAGATGAGTATACTATCAAGGATAGGCTTAAAGATTTTGGTCATAGCTTTCTGGAATAGAGAATGTGCAACTTTTAAGCTAAATGGAAGAACTTTCTATTGATACTGAGCATTAGGTATGCAAAAAGCAGTTTTGTATCTATCAGCAGGATTAACACCAAGTTACCAAAATTCAAATTTTAGATCAAACTTCGAGAAGATTATGACATCTTTAATTAGGGTATGAAGAGAAGAAGTTTTTAGAATAGGAAATTGTCATCTTTGAGAAAATGATTAAGAGGCTTGTAATCAATTACTAACCTCTTCTTTCCTCTGAGCTTTTCAGATCTTTTTCAACATAGAATGTCTGGCATGCCCATTCTGATTTGGTTGGTTCAATCAATCCTTGACGAAGAAGTTCATTACATTCTTGTCTAGCCATTTGGAGATCACTTGAACTCATTCCAAGATGAGTGGCTTTAGTAGGATTTATATCTTCATTGAGTTTGAAGGGAAGCTTTATAAAAAAATTTGGATTGTTCCAAATCGGATTGAAATGAGAAAAATTCTCATGACCATCTGCACATAAAGTTTTTAGCTTCTCTTTAATTTCAGAGTATTCTTCTAAACTTAGCAAAGGGGCTATGGATTCCTGGACTTGTGCATCTTCAGGAGCATAAGTATATTCTATTAGGTTCTCAATTCTATCAGAAGCAGTTCTGATACAATCCTTTGGTAACGAGATTGGTGAATTTAAGAAAATAGGAGAAATTTCATTGGAAGAGGGTTGACTAATGTTTGTGGTTGTATTCATGATATTGTGGAGACTCTTACTTACTTTATTTATAATGACTATCACACTTATCCCCTCCTTCAACAGAGACTTTAAGCTCTGAATAAATACAGGAGTTTGTGGCATTGTTACAGACAGGGGTGACTGTGAAGACAGTCTCTCCGGTAGGTGTCTGTCAACTGTCCAGCCGATAAACTCTGAGGATATGAGTGTCAAATAATTTGAAGGCTTTGATACCATTACTGGCCGGGAGCTCCTTATATCATATAGCACATTAAAGAATATTCCCCCTTAAAAAAGGACAACAAACGATAGAACTTGTTTTCTAAAATAGAATCATTTGTAGTGACAGCACAAAAAAAATGTAAGAGGAATTAAATCTATAATGTCAATATACTTAACTCTATTTACTGATTTGGTTTTTCCTTTCTTATGTAAAGAAGATGATCATATCATTCAAAGAAATAAAATCCATCAAATTTGTGAGTTGCTTGAAATCTTTATTGCAAAGTATTTGTAATTTCAGATAAAATGATGCAGCATTTTAACCAAGACTCCCTTACAGAGGAGAACGATGTTCAAAGCAATACACATCCAAATCTTCCCTTTTTTAGCTTTAAAGTCATAATGACTGCCACAAGAAATTTTAGTGATGAGAATAAGCTTGGGCAAGGTGGTTTTGGTTCTGTCTATAAGGTAACTGAAACTCTACCATGAGCAAATGTGGTGAAAACTTTATTTTACTTTTTTATTTTTCCTTCAATTGAATTGTACAAAAATGATGCAAAAATTTAGAAAATGAGATATAAAGTTATAAATAACAATTAAATATTCCAGGGCAGCCTAGTGGATGGACAAGAAATAGCAGTCAAAAGGTTGTCTGAACATTCAGGTCAAGGAACAGAAGAGTTTAAAAATGAAGTTAGACTACTAGTTAAACTCCAACACAGAAATCTCGTGAGGTTACTCGGTTGTTGCTTTGAAAAGGAAGAAAGGATGCTGGTTTATGAGTTCCTACAAAAGAAGAGCTTGGACTTCTTTATATTTGGTATGCATTTCTCTATTTATTTGTTCTCTTTAGCTTGTATATATAAATTTGCATTTATTTTGACATAAATCATAGCATCATAGTAACCGAGTTGAGGAGGAAAATTTTGAAGAGGTTTTCTTGCCAATTTGTCAAAAATGAAAATAATGAGAGACGTTTGGAAGAAAAAGTTTTAATAGATGGACTATGAACAATCCACTTAAATAGGCATCTTTCAAATTTTAATACCGTATTGGCTGCGCAGACTACAACCAGATCAATTACATGGGAGACAAGATTAAGAATCATCAGAGCAAGTTGGTCCTAGCTTTAATATCATCTACTTAGTCCATCCCTTTACTACAAAGCTTTGCATGGTCCATTTAATGGGTCCCCTCATTAAAATTCCTGACAATCACTATCTGTCTTTTTCCTTCCTAAGGCCTCTACCTCAAAAACAAATGCTACATCTAGCTTTAACATACTTCATAAAACAAAACTAAAATTTTACATAATTATGAAGCGAATTCACCAATTCTAATTTTTAAAGTACTGCAATGTGTTGCATATGATACAGGATACCTTTACTTTCTTTTAAATATTAACAGTCGGCTTACATCAATAAGGGAAACATGGGCTTAGTTTTGACAAAATTTTTAGAAAAGTTTTCATAGGAAAAAAAATTAGTATAAAAACTGAAAAAAAAATTATAAGTTAGAAATAATTTATCTCTTAAAATTTTTTAAAATTTTAGAGAATTTAAATAATTTTTTAAAAAAAAATTAAAGAATAAGTTATTTATAACTTACAAGAAAAGTTTTAGTCAATTTTTATATTATTTTTTCTTCTATAAAAAATTCTATGGAAGTTTATCCTAACTGAATTATAATAATAAAAAAAAAAATCTTTCTTTCACTAATTGGAACCCAAACACTAATTTGACCATTATCCAATCTATATTTATGTGTGCATGATTTAAAATAAAGAGACACAATTTATACTTGGTCTCAAGCATAATAAGATTTATCTAAAAAAAAACTTTACTAACTTTCATCTTAAATACTATCCTCTCATTGTTAAGCAGAAAAAATGACTTTGCAAAGTATTATACCAAATCCAAATTTGAAGAAAGTTTTTACTTCTTTTCCGATTTCTTGTTTAATCGATTCAGTATGCATTTATTATTTTCCATGTTCAATATTTAATCAACTTTAATTGTTTAATTTAGATGAAAATCAAAGGTCATCATTGGCTTGGGGTAAGCGCTTTGAAATCATTTTGGGCATTGCTCGAGGTATTTTATATCTTCATCAAGATTCAAGACTAAAAATAATTCATAGAGATCTAAAAGCCAGTAATGTTCTTCTTGATGCCGCAATGAATCCCAAAATCTCAGATTTTGGAATGGCTAGAATATTTGGAGAAGATCAAATACAAGCTAGAACGAATAGAGTTGTTGGAACATAGTAAGTATCATGCACTTATAATCACCTAAGAGTTAAATAATTGATTAGTATTATTTATGACAATTTTATATAATTTTAGTGGTTATATGGCACCTGAATATGCAATGGAAGGACGGTACTCAACAAAATCTGATGTGTTCAGTTTTGGAGTTTTACTATTAGAGATTATTGTTGGGAAGAAAAATACAAATTATGAAATTGGAAGAGCCTCCCCAAATTTAATTGGACATGTAAGTTGAAAAGGCAAAACTAGAGTTAGCCTTAAAATTGGTCAACAAATCATTGATGAACTATTACTCATTTAAAGATTGTGTTGTAAATTCATAGGTGTGGATACTTTGGACAGAAAGCAGGGCCTTGGATATAGTTGATTTTACATTGGACCCTTATCCTCCTGATCTGGTTCTAAGGTGCGTTCATATTGGACTCTTGTGTGTGCAAGAAAATGTCATTGATAGACCATCCATGTCGGAAGTTGTTTTCATGCTAGGCAATGAAATACCTCTTCCCCCACCCCAAAAGCCAGCATTTTTATTCAATGGGAACCAAAATTTGCCAGAGTCATCGATATCTGCAGGAGGATCTTCAATGAATGAAGTAACAGAAACAACCATCAGTGCTCGCTAAAGCTACCTTGAATAGGCAATCGGCTCATACTTTTGCATCAAATGTACGTGAGTTTAGTTGAACATCTATGTTCTATAGTTGTTTAGGGTGCTTGATATTCTTTCTAAAATGTGTTTGTGTTTACATATTTAGCATTTTGTCAATATGCTTTTGATCCACATTTTCTAACTTCCAGGTTAGCTATTGTAGTTATAATCATTTTTAGCATATGATTTTGTATAATAAATAATTATAATTTGTGTATTGATATGCATTGAAATTGTGGTGGCAAAAAGGCTTCAAAATGAAGGTAAAAGACTTGGAAACAATGAATTTATCACTGAGAATCAAATTTTGACCTTTGGAGTTTGAAGGTAAATCCAAGTGGCTTATTTATGTGACAAAAACATTTAAAAGATCCAAACTGGTAAAGAAATTGTTCCTGCATGTTAAGCTCCTAACATAGAATATATATACGATATAAAACACTCCTAACTTGCAAGGACTATTCTCGTTCAATTTGCTTACAAGGACTTTCAATTTGAAGTGTCCAGTAGTCTTTGTAATAATCAATGACTGGCTTGTTTAGAGTCCAACATCATCTTTTGCTAGTGTTTTCGTTTATTTGTTTAGGCCCCGTTTAAAAGAGTTTATAATTTTCGTAAGTTATTTTTAACGTATTTCACTAATTTTTTTAGTATAATTTACCTAAATAAGTTACTTTCAGACTAATCAAATAAGTTTCATTAATAAATTTTGACGTAAATTATTATTTAAAAAATTATTCAATAAATACTTAAATAAATTGTATATATAAGTGCACTTCAAACTGGACAAATATATTAAACTTGTAATAATATTAGATATAGGCTTAAATATATTTTTAGTTTATATAAATATAATTAAATATAATTTTAGTTTCCTAAAAAAATTAATGATTTTGGTTCTTATAATTTTTTTAAAATATTACAATGTATCTTTTATTATTTTTTAATGATGTGACACACCTCAGAATAATTGTTTCAAAACAATTATTCTGAAGTGGTAAAATAACATGATATATAATGCGTGCTATGTTACTAATAAGTAGGTATGGAAATAATTTTAAAAAGTTTTAAAATGTAAGAAGATCAAAATCTGAAAAACGAACTAGAGAAATAAAATTGAAGTTATTTATAATAACTAAATACGTATTTTACCCTACTATAGTATATAATTGTGGGTGCCTATTTCTTTCTTTATTCTAGTTTATAATTTTAACATGGAAAGTGTTAGCAATTTTTTAAATATACTATTTAACATATACTTAGAATATCAAATTATTTACATATTAATTGATATTTAAAAAAAATACTTAACCTTTTGAAAAACTAACTGATTATAATATATATATATATATATATATATATATAATGAAAAATATATTTAAGAGAATGTATTATGAACATAGCTCCTTTCACGGGTATGTGTGTATTGTCGATGGCACAAATCCTCTTCCACTTCTAGAATGGTTATTATTTCCAAAATCAAATTGGACCGATTAAAACAAATCTTTTGGAACAATTAAAAAAAAAAAAGTTAAATCGATCAAGAATTAATTAAAAAATTACCAATAGAAAACCAGTTTGAAGTTTTTAAAATAATTGATTGTGATTAAGTTTTATTCTAAACTATTTTTAAATAAATAGAAGTTCATGTATGAATTGCTATGATTTAATTATTTATTATTAATTAATTTTTATTTTATATAAAGTTGTTATTTAATATATTATATAATAGAGGTAATGTATTTTATTATTATCAATTTAATCGTGGTTAAATCAATCAATCGTAAGAGTGTCGATTGATCAGAATTGCCGGCGTGAATTATTTTATTACATCTAAAAGTGTCCATAGATCAATATATTTCAATGCAAAATAAGTATAAAAAAAAACTGAAAAACTAAAACTTAAACTAATCAAAAGTCGTAAAAAGTGAACTTTTTTCCTTCAATAGATTCAGTTTTAAAAACTAATCCAATTCAATTCAAACTAAACTTATCCATTCGTACATAATTTTATTTATGAGATTAACTTATTATTCATATTTATAAAATTATACTGTAATACTTGATTAATTTTTTTATAATTTTACTATTAAAGTTGTATCTTATTATTATTTTTTATAGATACGTTTATTTTTCTAGTGAGTTCATAGGTATGTTAGTTCGAGGATAATTTTAAAGTTGCTCGTGTTTCATAATTTTTAATATATAAATTTTTTTATATAAAAAATAGTAAGAAAGAGATAATAAAATATCGTATGGCTCGTGTTTCATAATTCAAAATTTTATTTAAATCATTTCAAACTAAATCTCAACATATTTTTTCTACAACTTTTTATCTAAAACTAATTCAAACCAAAGGATGAACACATTACCCATGATGATAAGTATATGTCCAAGGGGTCGTTTTAGCGAAAAAAATGACTTGTAACTCTACGGTAAATAAAATTGTTAATTAATGATATTCACCCTTTCATTACAAAGATAAAATGTTAACCATCATATATGCATACAACATTAACTTTCCTCTTCTTTTGATATTAAGTTGTAGCTTTATGACAAGCCTACAGCAACAATTTAACTTTAGATTAATTTCGAACCAAAAAAATGAAATAAAAACAATAGAATAAAGAAAGAAGAGACTCTTGTTAACAAGGTGGTACATTTATTATTATTATTTACACAGAAATATAATTAGCGCTGTATAGTTATACAACAAGAGGTAAAATGCGGGACTGAGCCTCATCCCCATATGAACCCTGATTTTAAATCATCATTTTGAATCGGATTACCAGTGAATTTTCATATACAATATTTTGGCAAATCTTGGTTTTCTATTCATACCACTAGCATCATAGTTACGAGCCTTGGCCATCAGCGAGCTTCAACCATAGTCATACTTACCTCATTTACTGAATAATGTCCATCACTTGTTGATGGATTTGAACTCTCATAATTAGTTTTCTTGAAAATAAATGCTGGTTGTTTTGGAGTAGGAAGAGTTGAGTCATTACCCAACATGAAAATAACTGTTGACATAAATGGCCTATCTACAGCATAATCTTGCACACACAAAAGCCCAATTTGAATGCATCTTTGGACTTCACGGTCAGAGCATGACTCTCCTAATGATGGATCAACAATCTCCATGGCTTTGCCTTCTTTCCATAGATTCCATATCTACATTAATTAAAGTTACTAGGTTAGTTGGACTATTAAAGGGTATGATTAACTTGGAGTGTAGTTCTCATAAAATACTGACATGTCCAACTAAGTTTGTGGATGTAATGTCTTCGTAGTGACCACTATTCTTTCTGCCGGTAACAATCTCTAGAAGTAAAATTCCAAAGCTGTATACATCAGATTTTACTGAAAATTGTCCTTCCATGGCATATTCTGGTGACATATAGCCACTGCAAAAGCAAAACAAAAATGAATCAGTAAAGTTTTGTTTTTAATATTCATGGGAAGTTAGGACATAGGTGGGTTCTCGGAGTGAACTATTTACTTATTATGTCATGTGTGAATAGTTTTTAAGCTGGCTGAAGAATCTAACATCTAATGTAATGAAACTTACTAGGTTCCAACTACACGATTTGTGTTTGCTTCAATTTGGTCTCCACCAAATATTCTAGCCATGCCAAAATCTGCAATTTTTGGGTTCAGTGAAGAGTCCAGCAAGACATTACTGGCCTTTAGGTCTCTATGAATGATTCTTAATCGTGAATCTTGATGAAGGTATAAGATCCCTCTAGCAACCCCACAGATGATATCAAAACGTTTTCTCCAGTCTAGCTGTGACCTTTTATATTCATCTGAACCGAAAATTCATGGTATGATCATGAGTGAAGCACGTTAAGATTAACTGTGTTCAGTTACTTGATGTATGAAGATGTAATAAATATGATTAGGTAGTGCAGTGAAATGGCTTTATCTGAAGTGAAAGATCAAGTACTAATGTATCAAAGATGAAAAAAATTTGGCATAGTACCAAAAATGAAAGAGTCCAAGCTTTTGTTAGGCAAATACTCGTAGATTAACATCTTCTCCTCCCCTTCAATGCAACAGCCTAAGATCCTCACAAGATTTCTGTGCTGGAGCTTTGAAATCAAAACAACCTCATTTTTAAACTCTTCTATGCCTTGTCCAGAATACTTTGACAGTCTCTTCACTGCTATTGCCATTCCATTACTCAGTGTACCCTGAAGTCATCATCCAAAGTAAACTTAATAGTTTGCCTTTACCATATTACAATACACATAATTTTCTTGGTAAATTTGTAACTAATGCAACTATATGGGAAGCCTAGAGACATGCATTGATTTTCAAAGGTGACTTGGGTACAATACATGAAAACCGGTGCATAATGTTGTTAAATTTGGAACTTGTTAAAGATTAGAAGAATGGTTACCTTATAAACAGAACCGAAACCACCTTGACCAAGCTTGTTATCTGTAGAGAAATTGTCTGTTGCAGCAGCTATGGAGCTAAGATCAAAGAATGGTAAATCTGAATTTTGCGTACTGTTAAATTCTTGAAGACTGGGAGAGTCATCAATCCTAAGACGAAAGGAATACTTTCGATCCCTTCTTATCCCTGTTATCAAACAAGGAAATAAACACATTTGAATATGTCAATAGAGTTAAGAAACCCCAGTTTAATAAAAAAAAAATAAAAATCATTTTAACTTACCATTTTTCCTGCCTTTTACAAACCAATACAAGAAAGTGATCCCCAAAAACAATAACAAGAAAATAGCAATGGTTAAAATTGCTACCATCCCCTTCTTGCCAAGGGAACCATACGGATGTTTTGAATATTTAGCTGCAAAATGCAAAAGCCAAGATATATCATATGTAGAAGAAACAATGATCAGGCAAATCATACTAAATAACAAGTGAGTTTAAGAAATAATAATAAAAAAATCTTGTATATATACTCTCATAATAAGGCAACCATTTAGTATATAATAAACCCATGCAGGGACACTAATTAATTATAGTGAGAAAGAGAGAGAGTACCCAATTCAAGTGCATCCACTCGTACGAACAAACTTTGTCCGACTTGTGTGTAAGTCCTTGTATCCTCCATGTCACCGTGCCAAGTAACACACCCACTATCGGAGCTCTCGTTGGCACTCGTGTACGCTGCACAAGAACAATCCTTGAGGCAGCTCTCCCTGCACTCTCTCATACTCATCGTTGCATCCACACGCGCCTTGGAAGTATCTGGAACCTTCACACGTGGCACTTCCACAAACCCCTCACCACTTCGACACGTGGACACGTTGCGCTTCCTCACACACCCACCCGACCCGTCTCTAAGATACCATTCTCTCTCAAACTTGGGTTCGAATCCGGGTAAACACTCGCATACGAACTTATCTGCGTTATACGGATCACAGTTCGCGTTCGACCCGCACCGCCTGAAGTTGTCGCACTCCTCCTTCGGAGCATCCCAGATTGGAAACCACCTGTGCTCGTGAGCTTGCCACGTGAACCTTGTCACGTGACCTGTCTCTTCAAGCACCATTCTCGAGAATACCGTGGGATCCTTCACTCCGTACAATATGGAAACTTCACTTTCATTGTCGACGTAGCTAACGCTGAAAATGAAGTTCGGAGTCATCTCGGGTACCCCGCTCCATCTCTGACCCGTCCACGACCCCACCCTCCATAACGGAGTATTGTCCTTGAATAGAAAGAGCTGGGGAAACCCAGTCGGGTCGATCCTGTAAGTTAAGTTTCCGGTTCCTGGGTCGTTCGGGGATTTCCAAGATCTTAGGAACCAGTTCACACCGGTTTTGAGGTCCAACCCGAGTTTCATGAACGGAAGCAAAGTGTTGCTTGGATAATCAAAACTCTGCCACAGAACTTTATTATTGTCAGTTTGGATCAAAACAAAGTTTCCCGTGTCCAGAAGCTTGGCTGAAACGTTGCCAGATGAGGTGGAAGCGTTGGAAGACCAAACGGGGTTAAGGTCTGGGTTGTTGTGGTGGTGGTGGAGTACGATGTTTCCGAGGTTGTTGATGGAGAGAACACCGGAAGTGTCGTTCAGAGGAGTGTCTCTGTTGGCAACCCACACGACCGTTTGTTCCGAGATTTTGTTGTACCATATCCCGATGTAACGCTCTGTAGAGTTTCTTGGGCTAAAGAAACCGAGTGCAAAGTTTCCTCGGTCTATGGAGACTAAACGGTCGCCGTCTTTCATGGGTTGGTTTATGGTTATGCTATCAAGTGATAAGCACTGACAAGAAAGGTAAAGTAGCAACAGCAGAAAAAACGGACAGATCAGAAGCTCTGTAGCGGAAAATATTTTCATGGTGTCTGTCAGTTATGTGAATGGCATTCGGATAAAGCTTATAAAAAGATTGGACGTGGAAATGACCGACTGAGTTTCTGATACATGTTATTTATGAGGGTGCTGATATTTTTAGGTGATCATTGATTTTCATGAGTTGTTATTGTCAGGTCCTGCATGTAAAGGGAGTGTGATTAAGACACACAACTAAAAATTGAATTATTGGTAGTTGCTTGACATTAAAACTGGGGTTTTCCATGCGGCTTGCTTAGACGATAGATAGACAGATCAGATACTTCAGGATTAGTCAAAATTGCCTTATCTAAATAATTTTTCCTTTCACTTTGTTAATGCACGTCGATACGAGTAATGTGTATATAGTGTTCGTAGTATTTAATTAGCTAGTAACTATAGAGCCTGGATTTCCGGGATGGGACACAAGGTTTATTTTCTCTTCAAAAGATAAACAATGTCCTGTTACTTTTATAGTTATATCACTAGCATACACCTTGACGAAAATAAACAACGAAGCATAACTAGGGGGTTAAGTGTACGAGTGAATATTCTTTATAGATATATAATTATATTTTAAGCTCACTTTCTCTTGCATTTATTATTTGTCTCTATTTTTTTATCCTTTTATATCGTACCATCTATTATATTATTTACTTTCTTTTTCTTTTCTTCCTATTTCTTTCTTATTCCTCTAAAATCACACTCTTTAAATTGGAAGTGAACAAATCAATTTTAATGCAAAGAGTTAGTCAGCATTTATTTAGTTAGTTAGTAAAGCGTTATAATCTGATGTAATACACATATATGTAGCGTTTTAGGTAGTCAGAGTTAGTACGATTATATAAAGCTATGTGATCACATTTTTTAGTATGAATAAAATAACTCTTTTCTTTGCATTCTATCTTTCTCATTCTCTACGTGTTGCTCTCTAAAGTTCAACAGTGGATAACCATCTCGGTGGTTGTTTGATGGTATTAGAGCTCTGCTGCGCAGAAAACATTAATGTTGAGAAACATGAATTCGAATTAGTCCAACAGTGGAGTCTTCAATGGAGGATATTGTTAGAATGTTAGTTTTCAATTACCAGGAGAAGTCTATTACAACCAACTCGATCATTAATTCTCTTAAGTTGGTTAGTACGAGAAGTTTGTGTTTCTACCCTCTCATGTAATCTAGCCTGTAAAATGGCGTCATGTAATGAGGAATAAATAGCATTCTGATCCTTCACAAAATCTTGCAAGTCTCTATTTCATTCATCCTAGTGAAAATCCATCACTGGCTATGGTCTCACCTGCATTGACAGGTAACAATCATCATTCTTGGGCAAGATCAATGAAAAGAGCATTGATCTCCAAGAACAAATTTCGATTTCTTGATGATTCAATACATATTCCTTCTAATTTTTATCCGAGCTTTGGAACATAGGAACACTATAACAACTTGATTTATTCCTAGTTGATTAATTTTTCTCTGAATCAATAGCTCAGAGTATAATATACATAGACAATGCTATCAATGTGTGGAAAGATCTGAGAGAGAGGTTTTCACTAGGGGATCCTGATCAAAGTTTGTGAACTACAACAGAAGAATTCCAGCATTAAGCAAGGTTCATTGAATGTTACTGATTATTTCACTGAGCTCAAAACGCTTTGGGAGGAATTGGAAAATTATAGACTAATGCCACAATTTTTTGTTCAGAGTAGTTCACTTGTTTAGCAATGAGGAATGCACCATTATTTCGTCAACAACATTATATTATTATATCTTTTACAGGTTTGAAGAATTTGCAGAAGTGCATTCACAAATTCTATTAGATCCATTGCCGAACCTGAATAAGGTGCTTTCCATGGTGCCCCAACAAGAAAGGCAAATTGGTTATAACACTTTTGATGAAGGCAGAATAACAGGGAATGCTATTGATGCACGTAGAAATTCCTATCGTGGAAGCGGAGGCAAAGGAACTATGAAGTTGTACACATATTGTGGAAGAAATGGACATATAGTTAGTGTTTGCTAGAAGAAACACGGATATCCTTCAGGCCATAAGTTTCATACAAGAAACAAGGTTAATAATGTGGTTAGTAGAATAGATGATGAAAATTATGTCAGAGTCATTGAATTAAAAAATGGATAATAAGTTCTGGAACTTGTGGTTTACCCCAGAACAGTATAAAACCTTACTTGGATTGATAAAACAGTAGTAATACAGTGCACATTTTTTTTTAGCTTAAGGAGAGTGGCGTAGGAGGAAGCTAGGTGTGGGAGGAAGAAAAGACTGTTATAAGAGTGATGGTAGAGGGAGAGGAGGGTGAAAAGTTGGGAATGGAAATATAGGTACGAGGTAAGGTAAGAATGAAATGAAAAAGGAAAGAGTTGGGTATGGGTGGAAGGAAAAAGAATTTAGGAGAAAAAAAAGAGAAGTCGGCTAATAGAGAATAAAGAAGATTAAATATAAAATTTAAAAAAGATTGAATATAAAAGTTGAAAAAAGAGTATTAAATACGAGAAAAAAGAGTTAAGAAAATTAAAAATAAAGATGCAAAATTTGTTTAAGTCAACATAGTTTGTTTAAACTAATATGCAAAATTGTTTAAGTTTAAAAAATTTGCTTAAGATAATTTTGTATAAAATATTTTTGTCTTTTTTTATATTTTCACTTAAACAAGTCTATTTTTACTTAAACAAAAATAGAATTAAATATTCAATTTTCGCATTAATTGAATCTAAATTTTACATAAAGAACTATTAAAAGTTAGCTTAAATATGTTTTTTATTGTCATATTTTAACAAATTTTTAAGCTTAGTATTTTTAAATAAATATTATTATTTTGTCTTCACTTTCTTATAAATTTTTATTTTTAGTCGATCTATTGAGATATTATTATGTTTACTTTTTAGTTTAACTAGTTCAATGTCAGAGATTACAAATGAAAATTTATAGAAAAGTAGAAATTAAAAAAATATATTTAAAAGGACTAAACCAAAAACTAAAAAATTGCTAAAATGTTAGGAAAAGTATATATATTTATGCCTAAAAATTATAACAAATTGGTTACAAGTTAATAAAATTAGACTTGAATCAAATTCCTCACAAAATAAATTTAACCAAAACTATAATTGAATTTATTAAATTTTGTGAATTATAACAAAGTACTCCCAAAGTTGTAAAGTTAAAATTATATCAAAAGTTAACCTTACATCAAACAATATACTAAAATAAAATTGTATTAATGTATAAAGTTTCATTGCAATAAATAAATAAAATTACAACAATAAGAAAATAAATTAAAAATTTCTCAAAATAAATTTAACAGTAACTAAATTTAAAATTATTAAAATTCACCAAATTACAGTTTAAATATTTGCTTAGCTAAAACTAGAATATTTAATTTATTTTAACAAATATTAAATTACATAAAAAAAACTACTATTTGATACACTGATAGTAAAATTTTATCCCAGTTACTATTACTAAATTGACCTAATTATATGCATTACAACATTTTTTTTAACAAGCAATTAAAAAAATTCCAGCTTACTTATTACTTTTTCTCAAATCAACTAACATATGCTACCTAATTTTAAAATTACAATAAAACTAAACAGTACATATACATTGCCATAAAAAATAAATATATAACATACAATTGATTAAATATACAAATAATTAAATTAACGTTTACAAATCTTTCTAAACTATCAAATAAAAATTTAATGACACATCAAATTAAATATTAAAATAAAATACAATAAAAATTTTAAAACAAAAAATAAATTACCTATGTTGTCTGTTTAGTTGCAGTATAACTAACAAAATTAATTTGATATAAATAATAAATTCATCTCCGTGTCAATCACATAATAGCATTTCGTGCTATCACCTGTGTTTGAAAATATCTGCTCCACCTCCTCTCTTTGCATTTGTTTGTACTAGGTCTCTTCCCGAGTGAGTTTTACTTCGTCTCAAAATTCAATTTCTAGATATCTTTTTTCTATTTTCTAGTATTTCAGAATTTGTCAATTCAAAAATTCATAATAAAATCATCCTTTGAAAAAAAATTATAAAATTTTGTAGACATGAATATATTATGTTTGAGCCTCTCTCCAAAAAAATTTTGCTATCAGTCTCTTACTAATATTTAGCCTTATACAGATTTACTGTTCTATTTAGACTATATTTTCAAACGACCTAACTCCTGGATAGCGCCTCATGGTGCGACAGGATTCAAATACAAAGGAGCTCTCACCCTTTTTGATGACTCAAGTTGAGAAATAAATAGACACATAAGTCGATTAAACTTAAGTTTTAAAGTTAATTATAATCAATTTTTCTTACATAAATTAAAGTTAATTACATTAACTTCTCACAAATGCTAACACACATCAAAGTCTATTGTAATTAATTTCTCTCATGGCTTGACACAGAGAGACATGTAAGTAAAGGAGCAACAAGGAAGGTTGGAATTACAGTCGAGTAAAATTTACTTTTATTTTGTATGAAAAATTATTTCAACCAACTTTTATCATATATACGGAACAAAATATGTATGTAAACAAATTAGCTTTGCAGATGTATGTAATATGTATTTTATTTTATTTGGATAAAAAATTCTCAGATTGTAAGTGTTATTTATTTTAATCTTTAATTTTATAACAAATTTATATTAATAATCGTTTTTATAAAACATTATATTTTTTATTTAATTTTTTATTACATTTTATGGTTAATAATAAAGACTATAGGGAAGTTTTTTTATAACATTTTATAAAATTAAGAATTAAAATAAAAAAATTATTTATAATTTCAACAATTAAAGTAATAATTTACTTATTTTATAGGTCATCTGCAACGTATCTAGCAATACATAATATAATTTTGGTGTGATTGTGTTCTGAACAAAATAACTCCTCCATGTACCATAAATTGTCTAAGTTTTATACAGATATTCACTCGGTGAAACATCCACCTTCAGGTACGAAAAATCATGGGAACAATAAATCTTGCAACAAGTGTAGTGAAAGGAAGGCTTAAAATTCCACCACATATTAGACTATTTTTAAAATGTGGAAAAACATCCGTTTGCCCAAATAAACTGTCTGACATTGCGAGAATTAATATGCACAATCAACTTTAAAAATTACATCTCAAATTATTTTTTAAAAATATAAAAGTATATACTTTAATTTACAAACTTATCAACTTCATAATAATCCCTTTGAAAAGTTAACCACACTTGATGACTAAATTTATCATAAAATTGATATATTCAAACACTAAACTATCATAAATTAAGATTTAAGAATTAAGTTGACAGAAACTAATTAGTTATAAAATTGAAAAAAAAAATATATATAAACGCACTTCAGTTTAATTCAAAACTAATAAATACATATTCAAATTATCCGATTTTGAGAAAATGTTTTTTTATGTCATTTATAATTATTTCTCCAGAAAACCCTGAACCAAAGGGAAAAAAGAGAATTTGGTTGCACAATTAATTAAAAATTAATTTTGAAAAGAAAAATTCAATCTCTTATGAAAAAATATTAGTTTAATAAACAGATGTGAATATAAATAATTTTGACTTCTGCAAATTTTGATTAATCTCATACCCAAAACTTATTTATCTAAATAATTGGCCCAAAAAAAGAATTTTGAGAAAACGTTTAAAACAAAAAACTCATTTGTCCAAAAAATCAACACAGATTATTTATCCAATATCATAAATAAGTAATTACTTGAAACTAAATGATAGAATCTTTATCTTTTCAGCCCATCGCCAACATAATCAGCAGTTTCAACTTTCAACCTTCCTTAGTAGCAAAAACAACTTTTGATCGACTACAAACTGAACACAATGGGAAGCATGTCCTCTCAGCATCAACTGAAGCCCACCAAATGATGCATATACCTCCCTGGACAAAGACAAGAACTTAGCCAAAGAATTGACCAATCTCAAGAACAAAAGTATAAACTTAAAAGAAGAGCTGTGGAAGACAAAATCTTATTGACATCAAAATAAATGTATATTTATGACTGATTTAATAGATTGGTCCTTTATCTGAATATTTTTCTTTTGTTTCATTATAATCTTTTTAAGTTTCAAGTGTTTCAAATAAATCTTTTTCTTTTCCTGCAACTATTCTTCTTTATACTCCTTTTCCTTTTCTCCTTCACCCTCAGCATACACACGCCATATCCTCCCCACTCCCCACCATTAAAATTTCTTCACTCTCTTTCCCTTTCCTCAACCAACAAAAATCTCTTCTTTGAATTTTTTCCAGCCTCTCTTTTTCTTTTCCATGGTTGAGAACTTGGATGACCGCAAGTTCTGATTGCCTCCATCAGCGCTACTGTGACATCCTTTGACAGTGTCCACCTTTGAACACAAACAATGGCGACAACACTGTTTTGTTCCCTGTTGAGTCTCCTAGAGTTGTTTCCCTTCTTTTGAGCTGTTCTCCCGTTGATTTCCTTGTTGCTGACGCCATTGATGCTTTTGGATTTGTGTTTGGATATTTATTTCATGGTCGGTTTGTGCTGGTTCTCCACAATCCACACTGTGGTATTGGAAGTGGGTGTGGGTGTGGCAAAGGGTCAAGCCAGGGGATCCCCCAACGGTGTTTGAAAGTTGTCTTCTGCAAGGGATACTTGAGATCTACAGCATGCAGCTGCGGGGGAAGTGTAGGGGATGCAGTTGAGCCAAGAAGGTTAATGTTTAAGAGGAAAAGAGGAGCAAGAAAGTCACAGAAAGAAGCCGAACAACAATTCTTAATGGAATTAATGTTTTTGAACAAAAACTGACCTATTTGAAATATTTTTGAAAATGAAAGGACCAAAACAAAATAAAAAAAGTTAAAGGACCAAACTGAAAAAATTTAAGCTAAGGAGTCAATCTACTAATTTAGCCTATATTTATTTCCAATATCATAGAAATTGCACATAGATTATCCCTATCCCTGAGGAACCCTCAATGTGCACCATATTGCTTTGCAAAGATATGATTCCATTAAGCAAAATGTAAACTATATTCTTTCTACCCAAGATCCATGAAATAAGCAGAGAAACATAACACTTGCAAATGCCTAAGCTACTTGTCCGGTAGCTTAATTTGTCATGTAAAATAGGGTTCGGTTAAACATCCTAGAATCCCAGGTGATACTTCTCATGAGAACAAAATGGAGTAAAAGATGGGAAATGTTTACGTACACTTCAAGCTGAGATTTTGAACTTCCCTCATTCGTAATGTTATATAATCTTCCATGCATGATGTATTCAAACTTGTCTTGAATAGACACTAAGCCATCCTGGAGAGAAATAAACTCAGTGTAAAAGCAATATCCACTAGTTTTGAGATAAATATAATTCATCCAAAGTTCAAACTACTTCAGCAGATATCTTTATCATAGATAACACAACAAATATTATCCTAGGTCCCAACTGTGACATACATAGTCTTTTGGATCTTTCTTCAAATTGTCAACTACAAAATAAACTTCTATATATCAATGTATGGAAGACAAATTTACCAATGCCAATCCATGCTACTAAATAAAAGCAAGCTACATGCTGGTAAGAGTTTTCCGAATTGTCAAATCCAATGTATCAACAATAAGTGAGACAAAAAACTGTTTACTTAGGAACATTAGAAAGCAACAGCTACATAGTGTAAGGAGCAAGTGACTGCTAGCATGGTTTATTTTTGCCCAGCCCACAAATGATCAAGCAGATAACTCAAGCAGACAATAAAGTTTTATATTATATTAGAGTTAAAGGAATCATATTGTCTACAGCCACAGTAAAGAATGAAACCATATATGAATTAAGTTTACCTTAGTCTTCAAAACAAGTGAAGGAGACAAAGCCATCAAGAATCTTTCATTTTTTCTCATAGGATAAATCTCAGTATTTACATCTAGAAGCATGTACATGTCACGCTTCTCACTCCGTGCAACAATCCGTGAAACTACAAGAGGAAAGCCATGAAACTGTAAAGTTCATGCCCACTGACCACTTGATTAATTCAAAGGAATCTGAAGAGGGGAAAAGCACACATACAAACACAATATGACAAAGTTATATCACACTAGATGTAATCAATCAAGGGATTTAATATCTTTTTAAAGGGCATTTGAAGAACAAAATAGATACTGCGATTTGTATAACACAACATTGATAAAACTAAATTGAATTGAATTGTAGATTTCTATAATGGATTACCAAATCTGCATCCAATGTAGTGGATGCTTCATAGTCAAATACTTGACTTTTCTTTTTATAATTTTTTATATAAGTGCAATTAACTCTTGGAGACGAAGCACAACTTAATTTTTCCTTAATTTACTTATATAACATTAACTCAACATCTGCTCTAATTTACTCATACGATATAATTCCTCAACCAACAAAACTTAACATTTTATTTATTCATTTGCAAACCCATTTATGACTTCAAATAAAAATAAAATAAAATTCTAGTCAAAACTATTACAGCACTAAAAGTAGAGAATATAAAGCCATAGCACCTAATAATCAATGATTTATTATACTAAAACAACCTTCAAGTCATAAGGTGCCGCTCCCACAACTTTGCATATCCAAAGCACTCATACTCAAATCCAGTTTAAAAAAACAGTAAAAGAAAAATGAGATGCACATACCTTTGTCATACTTTTTACCATCAGGGTCTACATCCTCAACCTTAAAGATCTCATCAAAAAGAAGCTCACTCATTCTTCAAAGTCAATTAGGTGCAGTTGATTAAACTCCAGCTCAGGGCAGCAGCGTCACACTGAACTTGATAAAATAAACACTAGAATTTAGAGGTAGAACATTGTAATTATTTATACCTAACAGAAAATTTAAATGCATGGACTAGAAATATGTTAGCTCAAAGTATCAGTAAAAATGAAAAACATGTGTTGATAGAGTAGAGCATGGTCTTGTACGAATTGTTCACTAAGGCAAAGTAACATTGCAGGTTCCAAAAATGTGCAAGAACTAAGAAAAACCAAAGATAAATTCAAAATAGAGAATCAGTAAAGTATTTGACAAGAAGCTTGGAATCCAAGTATTTTTCAAGATTAGGACACACACAAACTTTAGTCAGGGCTTTTAACCATGCCCTTTCATGATCAGTAGTCTTTACTAGTTGAACCAACCCCCATTGGCATCTGATAAGCTGATATACATAATTAGACATGCATTCTATCAATTTAAAAAATAGGCAATATCTCTTTTGAATGAAAAGACTTTTTTCCAACATATTTCATTTGGAAACATGAGCGAATCATCAATTCTATATAGCCCAGAGGTTTTCTTATCACTCCCTTAGACAAATCCTGTTTTTTATTTTTATCTCTTTGTAAAAAGTATTGAAAATTATGTATTTAATCCGGACGATAATAAGGCAGCTTATGCAGTATAACTAAACTAACCTGCAAGCCATACATGTACATAGTACATATACAGTACATGTATAAGATGCCCATTTACATACCCAGTACAGTTGGATTCTCTTCTTTTACTCAAATTCTGAATATCCAGTCAGTATATATTATTTACCTATATGGTGGTACTTCTCTTTTGTTTGTTTTATAAAAAAACTGGGGCATCATATTGTGGGTGTAATACTATTAATCAACATGTCCCTTGGTTTTTTATGCACGTTTTGGCTGACTCGCTTTGAGCTTTTTGACCCTCTCAAATTGTACACAACCCTTCTTTCTAAACTGATTTTGTATTTGTATGCTGAGCTCCAATGGACTATAGCTCTGAAGAAGACTTCAGTGAATCTGAAATTGATGACTTGTCAGAGAAACCATATGAACAGTTAAGGGCCAGAAAACATAAGGTTAAACTTAAAACTTTGAATGGCACTCATAGATGTCCTTCCTGTGCTGAGAAGAGAAAACACGATTATAAATATAAGGAGTTATATCAACATGTAGGAGTAGGTAAGGGTTCTGCTAACAGAAGTGCAAAACAAAAGGCAAACCACCTTACTCTAACAAATTATTTGGAGACAGACCTAGCCAATGAAGCAGAGCCAATCCAGTTGTGTGGAGTCAAATGTGAATTAGTTTCACATGAAATAGTATATGAGCAAGTTAGGGGTCTATAAGGAGATAAACTCATGTACATATTGCCTTAAGATTTTAGAGTTGCATTGTGATGTTCTACTCATTGTGAGGCTTCCTACCTAAAATTTCTCTACCCCAAGGCACCGATGGTCTGTGAGAATACACCATAAAAGAAATGGTGACACTAGATGAACCCTAGCAGAGAGCCGATGACACCTACGTGCAGAGGGTGTAAGTCCAAAAAATATTGTTAAGGGGACAACACCCCACGCGGAAGAAAGCAACCCACATGGAGGGTTGCTTTAGTGTAGACTATGGATACTCGAGAAGTGTTAGAATTCCCTACGGCATCACCATTGACACCCAGAAGATCAAGGATGCTATGGTTTCCCTTACAGTTTTCTTGAATATTTTCCTGAAAATAAGACGTAAGTTTTAGAACTTCTTTTCCTGCTCTTGGCTATGATTTCTTACATCAAGGTGGCAATTGTCACTACTAATGATTTCAGCCTGATGCAAATGAACTTTATCCTTTCCAGACTTCATAGGTTTAGATGTAACCTTAACCTTAGGATTCTTTTTAGTAGGCTCACCCAATCTAGGGTTACTAAAGGTTTTCTTATCCATTTTAGTATAGCTACCAACCTTCTGCGAATCAGTGTAATTCCTATCAGTAATATGGCCTTCTGTCCTACAGGTTTTAACTGATCCATCTCCTTATCCATATCCCCTAAAATGTCATATCAAGATCCCAAATTACTATCTTTAGATTTTCCAGGTTTAGGGAAGGGTCCAGAGTATTGACTACGGCTAGGATTTTTCCTAAATTGCTTTTTTGCTAGCATCCAAGGACCAAAAGGATCATCCTTATAACTATTCTCCCCACCTAGAGCTTCACCCAAATTATCCTTGCTTATCCTACCAGAATCAGGTTGCTCTCCCTCAATGCACTTAGGATTTTTGGATTGGGAACTTTTATGTTCCATATCAGCTGGGGTATATGTCTCAGTAGTTCCATAGTGCTCTAGCCTATGTCCATATTTTCCGCATTTAAAACAGATTAAATGAAGCCCATCATATTCAACTTTAAATTCATGTCCTAGTACTCTAAAAGCTGGAACTAGTTCCCTCCTAAGATCAATTTCAACACAAATCCTAGCAAACTTTCCTCTAGATAGTAAAGAAGTATAGAAATCAACTTTAAGCATTGAACCCAAACAAGCTCCAACTTGCCTAATAAATGTTCATAGGATCATGTTAATCGTAATAACTGGGTTCCTTTTTTGTTTAATAATGCTGGACCCAAAATCTGTCATCAACAAAAAAATAAAAAAAATTAAAATAATTGATGTACTTGAAAAATCTTTGCATGTTTGTTGTTCACCTAGCTAATAAAACAGAAGTTTCAGAAAATTAAAAAAAAGAATATGTGTTTGAGTCTCCAATTTATGCTATTTAGTTACCGCATATTTGAAATTTGAATTGATTTTACATCGATTTCCAGAAAGAACTAATGTAGAAAAATTTGCAAAAATTTCAAAAATATCACCGCATCTTTTTCTACCTCATTTTCTAAAAAATAGATGTAAAATCCTGTTGTAAAAATTGTTTTTTGTACTAGTGCATAAAGATTAATTTCCTACGATAATAAAAAGGATTAAATGACCAATCAAAAGAATTATTAAAGCCAATAATGAAGTTCTATAAATCTAATAACAGAAACAAATTTGATGCAACTATGGATAAGAAAATACAATTTATGCTATTTCGCTAGTGCTTATCTAAAAATTTAAAATTTGAATTGATTCTACATCGATTTTCAGAAATAACTGACGTAAAATATACATTTTACATCGGTTGTAAAAACAACCGATGTAGAAAAGTTAGCATAAATTTTAAAAATGACACCACATTTTTTTTTACATCGGTTATTTATTTTTATAACCGATGTAAAAAGTACTTTTTTCACATCAGTTTTTAAGAAAGATGTAGAAAAGTTTGCAAAAATTTTTAAAATCTCACCGCATCTTTTTCTACCTTGTTTTATAAAAAATAGATGTAAAATCCTGTTGTAAAAATTGTTTTTTGTACTAGTGCATAAGGATTAATTTCCTACGGTAATAAAAAGGATTAAATGACCAATCAAAAGAATTATTAAAGCCAATAATGAAGTTCTACAAATCTAATAACGGAAACAAATTTGATGCAACTATGGATAAGAAGATACAGTGGCAGCAAATCAAATCACGTGTATTTCTAATTTAAATCCCTAATCGATATATAATGCAGAATTGCAAATCAGTAAAGGTGTTTCCAGGTGTAAATAAAGCCGTTCTTAATCTGATGTATAAATAACAAAATTTCAGCGAGAATCGAAACGAAACAAAGAAAATGGATCCTCGAACATTGAAATAATTCAACTAAAACAACAGAAATGAAATTTAAAAAAAATGAAAAGACGTGAAAATGACGAACCTTGTGTTCACACGGTGTGTGAGAGGTAAAGAGCGAGCGTAAACGGCAACTGAAACAGCTATGTGTTCGCGTAGATGGCGAAGCAGAATCGAGGATTTGGAGCAGAGTAACAGAGCAAGTGGGTTTTTGGGTTAGATTTGGCCCTATGTGATTGGATCATGTACGGACAGGCCCGTCACTGAAGGCCCTCCCCCCCCCCCCCCCCCCCCCAAAGAAATGACTATTTCCTGCTACTACGATTATTTCAATTAAAAATATATTAATTTCTAATGATTATAATACTTTTACTAATAAATATACATTTTGAAATCAAAGAGCTTGGCAGCTTACAACTCAATTGGCATTGCAAGCTTTAAAAGTTTAGGAACGAGAGTTTTAGAAAAAAAAATTATATTTAAAAATAAAATATATAAATTAATATATTAACAAAAAAATTAATTTATTAATAATATATTTATCATAATAAATAATATATACTTTTTTATTTAAACTTAAAAAATATATCTTTCTTTTATTTTTTTCTCCAAAAATCTTCTTCCAAATATAGCAAAGAAACATAAATAAAAAAATTAAAAGCAACCTTAGTATGCATCAAATCACCTAAAGTCATCTAGAAAGTAGGAAAGTCACGCTGAGCAATTGAAAAAATAAACGGCAGAGTTGGATAAATTATTTTATCGGGGACCATGTAATCCAGCCATTCATGATTAAGATATGTTTTAATTTTTGAAAAGAAATCGTATATGTGTCATTTTTTATTATTCGGATAATCGGATTATTAATTTTTTTACAAAGTTAAATATTTTTTAAATATAATATTTAAAAATGTATAATAAATATAAAAATCATGAAAATATAAGAATAGTAATTTGTAATAAAATTAATGAATTTATTAGAATTTAAAAATAACTTATTTTATTTAAAAATTGTGAAGTTTTACATTTTTCCATAGTTTATTAAAAATCTGATATTTTTATAGATAATATTTTCAAATGTCATATTTAAATTAATTTTCTGCAAAATATAGCTTGAATTATTGAAAATTGAAAAGGCGGTGGATAAAGGTAAGAAAGCTTAGTATAATGAATTAGGTATAACAGCCAATGGTTTAGGAGCAGCTTAATGAAACTAATGAAGTTGTGGGCAACTTTCTAAACTCAAAAGTTGATACTAAACTTATTTCATCATTTGTGGGGTTTTTCTCCTCTGGACTATCCAATCACCCTTTTGAACTGGGACGTTGGCTCCAAAATATTTACAAAGAGTTATTCTTCGCTCTGTTATTCTGTAGCATCGACTTCTTTATGTTATTATGAATTGAATGGAATATTTTAAGTCTAAGCTTGATTTATAAAAAAACTACATATTTTAATTTATTTTTTATTTAATTAAAATAAATTTTAAAATTGAGTTTTATTTAATTAAATTTCAAATTTTATTTATTTTTTTATAAGTTATAAAAAATATTAATATTAGTCTTGAAGATTAAATTTAAAGAATAAAAACTAGTAAAATTTTATTAAAATAAAAAATTTAATACTCTTTTATAACTTTAATATAATAAATAATTTTTAATGAAATCTTATCACTTTTACACACTTAAGTCTAGTTTTAAGTGTTGAAGTTAATAAAATGAAGTTTAAGGTATTAAGTAGTGAACAGTTAAAGCTACCTATAATAAAGAAATCAAGTCAAGCCCTTTGAATTGTCTTCTTTATCGTAGATAGCTTTTCAATGTTTTCTAACATCAAATCTATACAATGGGCTGTACAAAGAGTCTAATACAAACGAGGTCTTTTTTCTTTTAGTAACTTACCAGTAAGAACATAATTGCTTCCATTATCCGTTATTACTTGGACAATCTTTTCTTCCCCAATTTCTTCAATAATAGAGTCAAGTAAGTCAAAAAATTTCTGACTAATCTTCACAATATCTGACGCATCAATAGATTTAATGAATATAGTGCTTGAAGGACAATTCACTAAGAAGTTTATTAAAGATCTTTGTTTTCTATCTGTCCATGCATCAAACATGATAGAGCATCCAAATCTTCTTCATTACTCCTTTTGACCCTTCAACAAATCTTCAGTGTATCCCAACTCTTTATTGAGGAGTGAAACTCTTATATCATGGTAAGAAGGAGGCTTTAAATTTGGCCCAAAGCTTCCAATAGTTGTAAGCATGTCATGAAAACTTTGCAACTTAATCATGTTGAAGGATAAGCCAGCTTGATACCAAAATTGATAATGTATTGATGAACTCTTATAGTAGCCTCCTTGTCACATGCTTCCCTTATGCTTGCTTGCCTTAGTTTATCCTTTTGCTTTTTCTCAATTGCAGTTTTAAGCCTTTCGTAATAAAGATCAATAGGGCCCTTAAAAGTACTATTCTTTCCAATAGCATTATTATACACTATTTCTCTAAACCCTTCATCAAAAGCACGTTCTTCATCACTATCACCAAATTCATCAAAATCATTGTGCATCCTTTGAAATGCTTTACTATCTTGCTTCTTCTTATCTTTAAAATATCCCCACAATTCTTCTTTAACCTCTTTTGGACATTTGGTGCAAGCTGCAACATTATCTTTTTTTTTCCATCAACTGTTATTTGGCTCAAGTAATTCCTCCTTTCGTGACCTTACCACAAAAATTATAAACATAATATTGGTGTCATTTTCTTGTGCTGGATGACAATATTTCCATTTGGGGTCAATCTTAGCACCAACACTTGAAGGACTTGAAGATTATTCACTTGTCATACTACGAAAAATAAAAAAAGAGAAAATTGCAGTAGTAGTTGTTGTCTACTATACTCGCCGACGACAACAGTGCACGTTGGGGGCTCGTCGGGAGCAATATTAGTTGATAACATTCTGATCATCCAAGAACTTATTCATTCTTTTGATAAGATTAAAAATAAGTCTATTTATATGATTGCTAAACTTGATTTGGAAAAAGTTTATGATAAAATTAGATGAAATTTTATTTTTGAAACTCTTCAATTAATTGGTTTAAGCCATAAATTTTCTGATATTTTAGTTAACTGTATTTCCACATTTTTCATGTCTATAAATTGGAATAATAATAGAACTAAGTGCTTTAACCCCTCTAGGGAAATTAGGCAAAGGGATCTCATTTCCCCCTATATCTTTGTTATGTGTATTGAAAGATTGTCTCATTTAATACAGGATCATGTTTATAGTAATAAATGGGTTCCTTTTTTGTTTAATAATGTTGGCTAAGGAACAGGTTCTCTAAGGAACCTAATTTACAAGAAATATCTCTAATTTTATTTAACATGCATCTTTTCTTTTTAAAAATATGTCCAAAAATATTGAGATTTTAACTAGAAATACTATTCTGAAAGTTAGAAATATTTTCAAACGAAGATCTAGAATCCAACCAAGCTGTTCTAACCCGATTACAAAAATTCTTATGGGATACCCATGGGGCCAGAAATTTAAAATTCCTATGGTGGGGTCAAAAATAATCCTTATTTCTAATTTTTAATCAAAGGCCTGCATGATTAGATTTTAGGAGGGGAAGGTGAATAAGGGAGCTATTTTGGAAAGTTATATGCCAAAGGTCATTAACAACTACCTTATCAATTCTTTCCTTAATATCACCTCTCTGCCAGGTAAAGGGATTTTCTTTAAATCTCAAGTCCTGAAGACCACAAATATTCAAGCACTCAACAAACTGATTAATAAGAGCTAAATTTGCAAGTCTACCCCCTATTTTCTTTTTGTATTCAAAAAACAGAGGTGCTGATTTGAGAGAAAAGAGAAGAGTAAGAATCAAAAATACTTACAAAAGACTTGTTGGAGGCAACAATAGTTGCTGGAGATAAGAGATAGACAAAAAGAGCTAAATGGGTTAAACAAAATGAACTATAATATTACTATATTTTTTGTTCAGAAAACAGAGTAGGTAAAACTGTAAAAGAACAAATGAATAATTTTTTAAGGCATTAACAATTTATTATTTTTTAAATAAAGAATGTTGTGATTTTTTTTATTTATGACATATTTTCTTCCTTTTCAGTAAAGAAAATATGATTTAAGAAATTAAACAGGTAAAAAATATTATTTAAAAATAATTAAAAATAATAAAGTTAGTTTCAGCTAGTAGCTGAAAATAAAAAATAATAACATTAGTAGCATTAAAATAATGCTAACAACTAACTATTTTAAGCTATTTTATCAAATAATATTTTTTATTAAATAAATTTTTTAATTAATAAAATAAAAGCTTAAATAATATTTTAGTGCCTAAAAATATCATATTTTCTAGTTTTAGTTTCTATAAAAAATTTATTTGATTTTATTGGAAATTAAATTAAAAGACATAATTTTAGGAATTAAAATGCTATTTAAGTTTAAAATAATTTTTCAAACAGGTGAAATGTTTTGCTAAACATACTCTATGCATCTAATTATATAAGCCATTTTGAATAGGTATGTGACATGTATTTCATACAATTATTCAATTAATAATATAGACATTTTTGTAAATCATTAGAATTAAGTTATATTAATGAAATTATAAACTTATTTTAGCTTGATTCCTTATTTAATTAAAATACAAATCTATTCATTAAAAAGTAACACATCTTCGCTTAGTGTGTTTGCAAAATATTATTTCTTGTAGTTATTTAAAAATAAAAAAATGTAACAAGTATTATTTACATTATTTTGAAGAGATTAATATTAGTTTATAAATTTTAAACAACTAATTATTTGTTTATCACTACATAGCATAAGTATCATTAAATTAAATTATTTAAAATAAATAATTAAAATTATAATATAGAACTATTTTTGAATTTAATAAATTTTAAAGAAAGTAAATATTATAATTATTAATAAAAAAATTCATTATGATAAATAAAAAATAATTATTAATAAATCAGAATTTAAATTAATATAAAATTAAAAAAAATAAAGAATATAGAAATAAAATTATTTAACATGATGAAAAAATAATAAACTCTTAAAAATTCTTTAATTTGATAATAATCTTAAAATATTCTTGTTCAAGAATCAATACTCAAATTATATATAAAAGTTGATATTTTTATAAAAGAAATAATCTATTTAAAATAAAAACATTTGTTCAAAGACATGCTTTTAGGTAAAAGAAACATGGAAAGTAAAAGGAAGGTCAATTTGATAAAGAATAAACTTTTTAAAGTTAAACAAGGGTTGCAATAAGATTTTAACAAAGTGTTTCATTGATGATAGAGTCTAATAAAAACTTTATAGAT